TTTGGGTTTGCATTTTTGGAATCTAGTGTTAAAATCTGAAATGCCGATTTTAAAATAAAATTTAGTCCGAAAAAAATACTTCGGCCGCCATCTAGTTTTGATACTTTTTCATAAAACTCAAAATGGGGCTTCGGGGGAGAATCGGATTTGTCAAATTTTTATGTTGGTGTATACTTTAGTCGATGGCGACAAAAATGTTGGAAATGGATTTTTGAATTTGACTTTTGCTTTTTTGCAACTTCCGGTCGATTTTTTTCACTTTTTAAATGCTTGTATCTCGTGACCTTGACCTTTGATGACATTGACCTTTTTAGGGTCAAAGGTCATTGACCTTGGCTATCAATTGATACTTTGACCCCAGACATGTACTTCCGGTTTTATAGCTATCCGTAAAAAGCCAAATTCGCAACTTTGGACTGCTCTAACACGTGACCTAATTAACCTAGAGGGTTAATTTTTTCGGTTTCCTAACGTTCTTCTCATGCACTTTACATAGATATAGAACAATTGCTTTTTTAAAGCAAAATTGAAATTCGTGATTTTTTCAAATTTGAGTTTTGTTTTACCATAATTGTGTCTTTTTGATCTTGGTGTATGTATATCTTATGGCCTATTTTATGGAGAACCTTGATATTTGGAATACAACTAAACACTTTGAATATGAATTTACCTATGGCAAAAAAATTGGGGTGGGCGTGGCACATCCGGGTTGAATTACTAATTGTTTACATTTTGGGGCTGGGGCATAACTCGCATAGGATACGTTTTTGAAAAAGGGACTTTGCACACAATTACCTCATCCTTTTGGCCAGTTTGTGTTAACAGCTCAGCTGTTTCAGCTTTATAGTTCCAAAAAAGGAACGGGTTTTAACATTTGGATATTTTCATTTTTCGATTTTGACCTTTGTTGACATTTGTTGACCTATATCTTTTGACTTGAATAATGTAAAAGCTTGAAATTTGAAACACAACATAACATTTGGAATATCAATTACCCTATTCAAAAAAATTAAGGTGGGCGTGGCACATCCGGGTAATATTACTCATTATTGATATTTTTGGCCAGGAGCATAACTCGCAAAGTATACGTTTGTTCAAAATGGAACTTTGCATACAATTATCTCATGAATTGAGCCACTTTGTCTTAGAAGTTCGGTTGTTTCCGCTTCTTAGTTCAAAAAAAGGGAACAGGTTATGGAAATTCAAAATTTTCAATTTTTGACCTTGACCTTTGATGACCTTGACCTTTATTGGGTCAAAGGTCATTGACGTTGTCTATTAGTTTATGCTTTCTTATTTGACCTCTGACGTCTACTTTCGCTTTTATAGCTGTCCAAAAACATCGCAACTTTGGACTGCTCTAGCACGTGACCTAATTAACCTAGAGAGTAAATTTTTTCGGTTTCCTAATGTGCTTTTCGTGTACTTTAAATAGATATATAACAATCGTTTTTTTAAAGGAAAATTGAAATTCGTGATTTTTTCAAATTTGAGTTTTCTTTTTTACAATATTTGCGACTTTTTGAGCTTAGTGTATGTACATGTTATGATCTATTTGATGTAAAACCTTGATATTTGGAATATAACTAGACACTTTGAATATGAATTCACCTATGACAAAAAAACTTATGTGGGCGTGGCACATCCGGGTTGAATTACTAATTGTTTACATTTTGGGGCTGGGGCATAACTCGCATAGGATGCGTTTGTTCAAAAAGAGACTTTCCACACAATTACCTCATCCTTTTGGCCAGTATGTATTAACAGCTCAGTTGTTTCAGCTTTATAGTTTCAAAAAAGGAACGGGTTTTAACATTTGGATATTTTCATTTTTCGATTTTGAGCTTTGTTGACTTTTGTTGACCTATTTCTTTTGACCTCTATTATGTAGGAACTTGACATTTGGAACATAACTTAACATTTTGAATATTGATTAACTTATTCAAAAAAAATTGAGTTGGGCGTGGCACTTCCGGGTTAAATTACTCATTATTGACATTTTTGGCCAGGGGCATAACTCGCAAAGTATACATTTGTTCAAAATGGAACTTCTTACACAATTACCTCATATTTTGAGCCACTTTGTCTAAGAATTTTGGTTGTTTCCACTTCATAGTTCAAAAAAAGGAACAGGTTTTGGAAATTCAAAATTTTCAATTTTTGATCTTGACTTTTGTTGACCTTGATCTTTGTAGGATCAAACGTCATTGGCATTGGCTATCTATTTATACTTTTATATTTGCTGTCCTAAGTCAACTTCTGGTTTTATAGTCGTTAGCAATTTGAAATTTTAATGGCGTATATCTCTTGACCTTTTTAGGCCTTCTCCTTTACAAGATCAAAGGTCATTGACCTTGGCTATCTGCTGATACTTTCATTTGTGAGGTCTGAAGTCCCCTTCCGGTATTAAAATCTTCTAAAAAATGAAAATTTCTCAACTCTAGACTGTTCTTGCGCTTGATCTAATTATCGTGGAAGGTTGATTTTTTCAGGGTCTTTTGCATTTAGCTACATTTGCAAAGTCCCACCCTGTGCCACGTGTGGCTCTAGTTTGTTTATTTGTTGTTTGCAGATTGGAATACCTCTCATAAAAAAATAAAACAACGGGACATGAAATCAAAGAAAGCTGAATGTTCATTTACCGTAATTTTTGTGCTCTCGTAACCAGAAATGTAATCCATTTAGGTAGATAAGTACACGAGAATTATTTGTCCCAAGAATTCCCTTTGACCACAATATTTCATCCTCTTCATTTGATATAGGTTCAGTCTGGTCCTGTATATGACTTCCACTCTTTTAAATCTTTGTTATCCATATAATCCAAATCATTTCGTATTTTGGGATTTCCTTTGGTTATTTCGCCATATCGCCACAGTTTGAATGATTTTACCCCCCCCCCCCCCCTCCCCCATTTATTCCGCCTCAGCATATTTTAGGAACTGATGTCTGGGCAACTTCCATAATGTCTTCACTCTTTGGTACTTTAAAACGTTGATAATTATTGTAGTGTATTCCACTTCTGTGCCATTAGATTTAACCAGATTTGATCAATCATAACACCATTCAAAGTTCTACACGTTTTATTCACCGAAAGTAAGGCATACATAGAGGGAGTTAACTCTGTTCGGCTTATTACATGGACTCAGGCACAACTGAGTTATCTTACTTTAATTACGTCAATACAATTCAAAACTATCTTTTTGAACATTGAACAATTAATGCAAAATATACATGTATTTTCTTTTACTTAAAAACATATGTATTGGAAAACTAAACATACATACATTGTAATCTCACCAATAACTCTACACAAACATTTTAATAAAAATGTAGACATGACTAGAAATTCACAAATTAACTAACAATAAAATCGTCATACTTTGATGGTAATTCTGTGACTCTTAACTGGTCTGGATTCAGTGAATAAACCTGGTTCAACAGATTGACCATGATCTTCATGTAGACGTGTAAAAACTGTTAAAATCTGAGAACAAAAAACTATCGGGACACTCGCCTGTCACCAAATTGCAGTGAACAGCAGTAAACATCGGTAATCAACTTAAGCATTTCCAATCTTTTAAATACATAAAAGGTGTGATGTATCAAAGTCACAGTTTCTTCAAGAAACAAACGCATATTCGTTATCTCCCATCTATTGTGATTGTACGAAAGCCGAGTCAGGACTTCCAACTTCCGACTTCCAAGTTTTTTTTTTTCACTTCCTACTTCCGACTTCCAAGTTTTTTCAACTTCCGACTTCCGATTTCCAAGTTTTTTACTTCGGACTTCCAAATTTTTTCCTCCAGCGAGCTGGTAATTAAGCCTACGCTTTTGTGATCATATCCATTTTGGCTTGTTAACGCGATAGAAATTACAGTTGTCATCTGATCTCAATAAAATTTGGTTTAATTTATATCTAAGAGTCCTTAGGCACGTTCAAATTAAGGTATGATTCAACAGAGGATAACAGAGTTTCACAACTGGTCCGCTATGATAGAGCATGTTCTCTTTATAATGGCTTTCTGGCAAGAAGTCGAATATTAACCGTGAAATTACTGAAACAGGGTTACTTGACACAACAAGTGGTACGCCCACTTTCCTGATACATTTTCAGTATATCAAGGGCGGTCACCAATCTGTGTCAAATCATACTAAAAATCTCATTTGTGCAAGATATAGTTGATTTAATCAAACACACAATATTCAATAAAATTCTGACATAAACTATCGCATTAACAATCCAACGAATTTTGATGCGTTTTTACTAAGTCAAGGGAAATAACTCAAATTCCGTTCATCGAAAGATCATCAAATTTGAACTTGTCCAAGAATTCATTAATATAAATGATCATTTCATTAAAATCAGATAACAAGCCAATTGTAGACCGACGTACTGACAGAGGTTACGACAATATACGACCACATTATATGTTGGCGTATAAAAACCGTCCAACGAAACATGAATATCGAACTTGTCCAAAATCGCATCAATATATAAATGATCACACCAAATTTCATTCGAATCAGATGAAAACTGTATTCTCTATTGCGTTCACAAGCCAATTTCGATTCGTTTAGGCTAAGTCAAGGGCAATAACTCAAAAGCCGTTCATCGAAAAATTGTGAATATCGAACTTGTCCAAGATCTCATCAATATAAATGATCACACCAAATTTCATTCGAATCAGATGAAAACTTTATCGCGCTCACAAGCCAATTTTGACGCGTTTTGGCTAAGTCAAGGGCAATGACTCAAAAACCGTTCATCGAAAAATCGCGAATATGGAACTTGTCCAAGATCTCATCGACATAAAGTGAAAAAAACCTTGGAAGTCGGAAGTGAAAAAAAAAAACTTGGAAGTCGGAAGTCCTGACCCGCCTTTCGTAGTGATTGTTATCATGACAGTTTATGGAAAGATACAAACAGCGGTCAATTTTTTTTAGCGTAACAACAGATTAAATTGGTAAGTTTACCTTTCTGTCCGTATTGATATAATTTGACGGTCGTCATTTAAAATATTTTATTACGCAGTCTGACAAATACAAAAAAATACGTCCACTGCATACACCGATATATCGGAAGTATATCGCTTGAAGGCAAAGAAAAAAGAACGACGCTGTCTGTGTTTAAGCCCCCTTTATCTAATAAATTATGAATAAATACTGGCGCTATTTCAAGTTATTTGAGTTTTTTTGTTTAAAACCAATTTGAATCGCATACAGGGATTTTATACACATTTTCCAATTCTTTGTATAAGCTTGTTAAATATTTTAAAGCCACGCACGCTAATTGGTAATGGCGCTGGAACCGTTCAGAGCGAACTTCATTATCAATTAAATTATATTCAATTGATACCTCAGAATTGTCCATTTCTAATTCAAGAAAATGGCATATAATAGAGTGATGTACTTCCATACTTTCCAATATATCAACTATTTCTATCAAAAAATTCTGAAATTCATCGTCACTATCAGTAGAAGTTTCAACATCTTTAACACTTTCAAAAAAACACTTGATAACTCTCAACTCTCTGCCCACTCGTCTTACTGTTATGTTCTAAAAAAAAGTAAAAAATAGTTAACCTAGATGTTATCACAATGAGAATGGAAACTGTTAATGCAACGTCAGAGAATCGAACTATCTGACAGGAGCTGTATCTACATCACGGCAAATGACGTAAGTGCTGTGAATAAGGCTACATGACAAACTTTAAGAAAAAGAGAATATTTGCCTCATGGAAAAAATACCCTAGTTACGGCCTTGCCTGTTATTTCTATGCTAATTTCTGTTTGATAACTCACAAAGGAGTCACGAATCAAGTTTATCTTTCAATATGAAACTTTTTCATTCTACGAAAGCCTTAAAAGCACACCTAAATTAACATGTTTATACTTAGAAAAAAGAAATATTTACAGCACGTCATTTCACCAGAAAACGTTTTTCCTCAGTCGTTCATAGACTTCTAATACGGACAAATTCTCGGACCCACCCTCGTCGAAAATGGCATGGATCAAGAAGGCCTTGAATGATTTTTTGTGGAAATTTATCACCAAAAAATCCACAATATTTCACAAGAAAATATCTTATTTCAGATTGCTGGAAATAGCGTTTGCGCAATTCTTAATATTTCCGAGAGAGCCCCCCTTCCACTCTCTCTGCCATGGTTCAAGTAGTACTACTTTATTTGCAGATAAAATTCATCAAAAATTGTTACTTTCTTACCGATTCTATATCAAGCTCAAATTTCGGGAAAATGTTTGAGTCAAAAATGTCAGAACTCTTTTTTTCTAAATGTTCTCTAATCATTTTACTCTGAATTCTCTCATTTTCCTACATAAAATATAAGTAAATATATATGAATAAAAAACATGTAACGCTATTAACGAATTTTTATGTGATAATAACATTTGTATGAAATACAAGAAAAGAGGTCGAATACATAAAACGTAGCTTATAAGGAGAGGCTTGGCTAGAAAAAGGAAAAGCGGTTGTTAAATGAAACACATTGAGTTAGTTCTATGTCCAAAATACGTCGACATACGTCACATTACATTGAAGGAAGTTTAAGAAAAGATCATAACACGTTTTGCAATGGTTAGAAATAAGTTTTTAGAATGACCCGTGTATGATAACATGCGACGAAAATTTAGTGCAAGTATAAATGTGTTGACTCTCTCCGACGTATAACAGCGTGCTTCAGCCTATACAAAACTTAGCCATAATGTATTCGACATATGACAGCTTAAGCTGCGTTTCCTTTAGTACGGATCCGGTCCGGATGCGGATACGGCAAAAATCACTTTCATTAAAAAAAAGTAATAGTGTTTCCTTATATACGGGTGCAGATACGGTTCCGTATGCGGCATCCGGTACGGTTTTTCGAACCGGATCATGTGGCGATTGGTACGGAACCGTAAGCAGAACCGTGTCCTGAAACGCAGCTATGAAAACACAGTTTGGGCAGCCCGCACGGCAAAAAGCTAAAAATTGGTAGGGGAATTCCAAAGTTCGTTGTTTTTTTCTTCTTGTAAGAACCTTGACAATACCGGTCGAAAAGAGACCCCCTTCCGGTCAATAATCGTATATAAGGAAACACAACCTGTCGAGTGCCGTGTCCGCACCTGGACCGGAGCCGCACCGGATCCGTACTAAAGGAAATGCAACTTTTTGTGTCGTCTTTTTTTTTTTCATACGTTGGTCACACGCTGGTTAATCATCAATGTGCGGTTGATAAATCTACATGTCAGCCTTAACAAGAGTAATGAATTATGTCGCTTTCTCAGAAGATATTGACTTTCTAGGATGGAAGGAATTTCTTTACAAGTAGAAATGTATATGGTTATCTATTTTGGTCAATTGACACATTCCGGGTTGTGTCATCTTCCGTTTGGTTATGAAGATATTCACGAAATTGAACTAGAAATAATTGAGGATATCCCGTCCATCGCGCGACTTCGATTTCATGTTTAAGGCTGTAATTTTTTTAAACAGCTGTCCTATGAGGTTGCTGTAATGTATAAGGGCTGTATTACGAGCTGAAATGTCTAAAATCAGAATGAAAGTTCTGCTTGTACTGTGCAACATAATACGCCATTATTAATCAGTACTATGTCTAGATTGACGACGTGTTTCTTGTATATTGTAATTCAAACATCAGAGGCTGGTAATTTATAGTCAAACAGATAATTTTAAAAATATATAATTGTCCCGTTTTTATACTTTTGGCAAACCTCCTTCTTCAGAAACACTTCAGTTGTTTATAACATTTATCGTCTTTCCTTTACTTTTTTAAGTTTAGAATGATCATCATTCATTTTTATCATTCTAAACTTAAAATAAGTAAAGGAAAGACGAAAAAATGTGATTATCAATACTGAAGTGTTTCTGAAGAAGGTGGATTGAGGAGTGTTATACAGTTAATTTGTATAGTACTCAGATGAGTAAAATATCCGTGTAATACTTTTGTTATGGATTCAAATTGGTTATATTGCATAATTGCTTAACCAAAAGTTCGGTGTGTGTACAAATATAGCGCAAGTTTGTAAAACAAGTTGTATTACTAAGCATCATATTTTTGATTATGTTGCCACTAATAATAAGTTAGCCTTGATTGTTCAGTAAGATTAATTAAGCATAATATGTTAACTCCTTACCATTTTCTCCATGTAGTTAAAAACACGTATGACTAATCCAATAAGCAATGGTGACATTTCTGAAACACTTTCACACAAACTCGTAACTGGACCATCAACACAGTCTTCCTTGTGTAATTCATCATCATGATCTTTCATGAAATTAATATATTCCTCATATTTTTCTAAAAAGAATTTCTTTTCTTCTGAGAACAAACCGTGTGAAGCAATATACTTTATAATAGTACCAGTTGGTAAAGACATGATTCTCTTAGGATTGCAAGGGAAGCCACTTGACATTTTCCCTGTTCCTAGTACGGCTTGACGTTTACTGATTTACTGAAAAAAAGACGAAGATTATCATAATCAAATGAAGCATTATCAACAACCAAAGTTCTGAGGTAGTAAATAGTTGCAACATCAAACATTATACCTAGATAACATGATTTATCAACCTAAAGGGTGTAATTGTTATATCTACCGAAAAAATGGCCGAGGTGATAGAGCCTCATTAATCTCACATCACTTGACAAACCGATCCATGCAGTTGCAAACGAGTAGTAATACTTAACTTCTTAACTTATGTCCATGGTCATGTTAATGAGAGGGACTGAATCAACTCCCGCCCCTTAATCACCCTTCTGTAGTACAATGCCAGCGAATACTGATAATACCGGCTTCACCGACTGAAATAGCCTCCAACCCACGTTTCAAATTTTGACTCTTGTATACAGAAAAATTACTCGATTTACTTTGATTTTTCTCTTTCCCGTTTTAGTTTCAGTTTCAAATCTATGAAATATTTGACTGGTTTTGTGGCATGCTCTTTATATTTAGCCTTCAAATTAAGTTTCACAGGTTTTATGTTATCATTTTTCAAAGTTTAAACACATAACAGACACAGCGATAATCGCTCATCATGAGCAAAATTGAATACTTTCGAACTTGAATATTTCGTATGCTGTTTATTCATTAGAACACTAGCTGTGGTCTGTGTTACCGCCAGGGAATATTACATAATACAGTTCCTGTTGTGCAATAACATGACAATTACTACACAAAAGTGAATGGAATCAAATTGAGAATCCCCAGTCAGTCTGGGCAGAATTTGGGCGTAAAGAGTAACAAAGCTAACAAAAGGGATCAATTTAAGTGGTATCTCAACGCAGTTTGCGATTCAAAATGACCCCTTTTGTGATTCAATATTTCCTTTGATTAACCAAAAGCAAAATATGACGATCTGTATCAAAAAGAAAATTGTGTATTTTAAAGTTCAAAATTCAACTTGATGAGCGAAAATTAGAATTTGGTGTTAATAATCAATATTTTAATCTAAATTGGACCCTGACCAAGCTCAGTCAATACTTTTCTGATATTGATTCCCGTTCTCAAAATCCCCTCTTTTTTAAAATATAAATTTCTCCTCTTTTCAAATTTCACAGCCGTGCAAATTTCAATGGCTGTCATTTATTACTACTGTGGGTTTTCCCTATCCTATATTTCGGTACACGTTTACCCCGAAATGTCTACCTCTCGTGCGTTGTATACTTAACAAATGAAAAGAAAGATATATTTTCTTGTTAAATAATAATGTTATTCATTTATGTTTATTTAAGTACCTAGGTTTTAACTATGCATTTTATATCCAATTCTCATTTTTAAAAAAACGGTTAAGTTTTTTAAGTCAATTTTTTTTAAATGTTATGGACGATTTTAACAATTATACCACGAATTTTTTCAGTATTCAATATTTACAAATTTCAATGGTTGTCATTTATTTCTACTGTGGGTTTTCCCTATTCTATATTTTGGTACAAGTTTACCCGAAGTGAAATCTCTACCTCTTGTGCGATGCATACTTAACAAATGAAAAGAAAGATATATTTTCTTGTTAAATAACAATGTTAAACATATATGTTTATTGAAGTACCTAGACTTATACTATGCATTCTATATTTGATTCTCATTTAAAAAAAATGGATATATTCTTTAAGTCAACTTTTTTTATGGACGATTTTAACAATTCTAATAAGATTTTTTTTAGTATTCAATACATTATTTTCTTAAATTTCAAAATGAGACCTACTTTAATGTGTTTTATATTTTGTTGTCTTAAAGAAAATATATACAACCAATATATACATTGTTAAAAAAAGACATCCATGTCATGTTTCGTCGAAATCATTTCACATACGATGTCTCTATTTAATAATATCTAAAAACGCCTACACACAACAAATATTGTGGTTAACCATGATTAGTCCTGAATAATATAGTAAGATCTTGACCTGAAGAATTACTATCACACATTATTATAACATTTGACTTTCGATACAAATTTTATTAATATAATAAATACTAAATAAAGTGTTACCTTCTTTGTTAATGTTGAACTACAACTGTAACGCCTGAGAGGATAGTGGTTAATTATATCTTATATAGTATGAATGTAGGTCGACCTTTAAGGATGAACCCGGATTTAACTCCTCGAGATGACTTTGATGTGGAAAATTCAAGTTTATATTCAAGTGAAATAAATAAAAATTCCGATAATTTGTTCAGTTGCTTTTCGTTGTAGAGCCAATAAAATCACTTAACGATTTCGTAATACACGTTGTAATAATGACGGCCATGCAATTAAGTAAGAACGGGAAGGTGGGATAGGCTCACGTGCTGAGAAAAGGATGTTTTTTTTTCATATCAATAAATTAAATCATTAGTATGATGTAGGGGGTTTATAAATTATTTACTATTCGATATGAATGAGAAATGAGGCCCCTTCAGTTTAAGATTTCTTATCATTGAGTTCTTAAATGCTTGGTGCTGTTTCCCACTTTTAGGACAAGAAATAATATCGATTATTTTGGTTGATGAAACTACATTTAGAGAAACTGTTTCGTTGAATTTTAATGAGATTATTTTCAGTTGGCTCTCGTAACTACACTTTGGCTGTCTTTGCGACAACGTGTGTCAATTTTATCCCATCAATGTCAGTTTTCTTAACCACCTATTCTAAATTATGGCCCATAACTTTAATTTAGTTAAAATATGAAAGGTAAAAAGTCCCATAATTGTCTCAAAACTTATTAAAGTCATAAGATATGAACGACATTTACTAGCGGAGAGTTCTTATAAAAAAAAATCAAAAAGAACCCGGGGATATAATAGGCAAGCCAATAAAAGCAAACATTATTTTCTCGGGCCAATTTTTTTTTTTTAAATGAATGAGGCAGGAAGTTCTTTTTTTTATTGGCTTGACATGCTAGTGAGATGGTTTTTTGTTTATCGGGAAATAGGCATGATGAGGCAATATAATTATAAGACCAAATATAGTACTGAACAATTAAAACATAACATAGATAACGGAATATGTTTTGTCATAATAATAAATACAAAGTATAGATATATAAACGAAAATAAAGATGGGATGTTGGACTAATAAAATGACTTGACTAATGACTTAATAACTCATCTCATGTTTAATGAAAATTATCTTCTTAAAACTAATAATATTAATAAATGTTAATGAAAGGTTTAAAGTAATAGGGTATCCAATAAGACTGCCTGATGCTATGTTAAGCTAAAACATGTTACTCAAATCACTCTTGTTGCAATCAAAATATAGTCACCAAAATACTACTATTACGCAAGATAATAACCCCACCACACATACCAAAGATGAATAACTTGGTAGAAATTAATAAGTACAAACAGAGAAACACTATTTCCAAAAGATTGAAATAAACCATCCTGTTTGGTATCCAAGGTCCAGGTGAGACTATAGTCTATAGAGATGAAAACTAACCAGCAACTCACTGGACTGACTACCCTAAAACAATTGTACAGGTCTAGGATGGATTACTTCATAAAGAAAATGGAATAAACGATCAGGAATTAGATAAAATATAACCCGCCAAATGGACGAGAAGGATTGTTAAATACTAATGAGCTTTAATTCGCTACGAAGAAGATTGTAATTCAAAGACTCAATAAAGATAATATTTTTTTTTTATAACTAGGATGCATTTGACAATGTTAAAGACAAATTCATGAAAATCCTTGAAGCTGTTTCTGAGACATCATCATTTTAAAAGTCCTTTTCCACCTGCCTGGTATAATCTCATTAGCCAGCAGGCCAACATCCGGTTATTCTAAAATTAGACACCCGACGTCACAAGTGAGAACCTTTGTCAGTGATGTGTATATTGAAGCGGTAAGAATTTCGATTTCTTAGGTTAGCACTCTTAATTCGCTATGAAATTGTTAATGAACATTCTTGGAGAGACGTCGAAGAAGATAGATGGAGAAATATAATGCATTTAAACCCTGATTCAGAAGAAAAACACACCACCAACATCGAAAATGATATTCATCATGATATTGGGCCTATTAATAGTCATTATTGTGCCATGGATCCTCTCATGCAAATTTCAAAACTAGAAATCCCTACCAAAATTTGAATCCTACTGTTTAAAAAATCTGTGTGATTGAAAACGAGAAGATTTGAACGACAAGTGTAGAAAAGATATAACAAAAAAAAGTCCACACCAAAGAGCACCTTACATCCACCAAGAAACAAGATGCCATCTCAGCCCTGTCTGAACACCTCATCAAGTGCCCATCCCACCACATCATCTGGGAAGATAAATCCATCCTTGCTAAGACCCTACCCGAAAACAAGCAAAGAAGAATCCGTGATACCCTTGAAATCCACCGCCGTTTCCCTGAATTGAATAGAGACACCGGACTTTACATTACACTAATCCCATTTTTAATTACCTTGTTAATTTTTTCATCTTTCTTTTCTTTATCCCTCTGTTGTAATAGTATTGGCTTCTGCCTCTTTGTCCTTGCCCACTTTATTGTCTGTACTGATCGCATTGTCTTCATTACCGTTTTTCTTCTGTACATAGCTTCTTTCTTGTTATATACCCTCATGTTTACCTCCACTACTTCATTTCATCTGATGACGACACGTGTAAATTGTGTTGAAACGCTGTGCTTTGTTATTAAAGAAGTGAGTTATACCATAATATACCCCTTGTGTTTTTTGTTATAACTATAAAACGAATGAAAACAAGAGATCACTGATTGGGAACATCTGGGTCTACCAGCATTGACGTCTTTAACGTCATGTTAATCAAGTATCACAAACATTGAGCTTGAATGCAAGATGGCATCTCGAGTTTTGTAAACTTTGGAGGAATACTAGACCTTTGAATACTATTTCTTCGAGATGTGATGGAACAAAATTGATAGAAATAAAATGACAATTTAGCGGATTGGATCGATATATAGAATTTCGGTGAAATAATTTTTATAGTGCCCAGAAATTCGGAAATAATTTCATTTCCAGTCGTAATTCTAATAGGCCTAACGTAGACCGGAATTTGGACAGTTTCCAAATATTCGACACAAATTACAAAATTTCATAGAAATAATTCCCAATGTTACTAAGTCATCTATCCCCAGGGTAATTTTTTACCATATCGGACAGTAAAACGTTTTTGAAATGAAAATATAAATGACGCCATTTGATATGACCAATTTATGTGAAAACTTGGGCCCCCCTACCGATGTGTGTGAGTGATTTTGGTGTCTTAAAAATCTGCAATCGAGTGCAAAAAGAGTATGGCAGCGGAATTTTGGTTATGCTTTTTTATAATTTTCGGTTTCGGTGACCTTGAGACCTGAACAAACGTTGTTACCCCTGACGAGATCTGTCAAAGTATTCAGTATTGTCAAGCGATGTTAACTTACGGTTCTAGAGCCATTAAAAACCGATGCCTGCATTATGATGAATATTCAGTCCTATCGATCTTTTAAGTGTCTAAAAGTCTCAATCCCATGGGCTTCCCTAGTTTGACGGTTTGTAGTTTCGTCTTCTGGGAGGTCAATTACTCTGCGCTCAATAGGGGTAAGGATAAGATCGTCTGATGAATGGTTGTCCAAGTTGAAATGATCAGTTTGTCTTTCTTTTTGACCAAACATACCAAAGTTTTAGAATTGGGAACCCGCTAATTTTGGCATTTAGTGGCTCAATGAATGAACCCTCATCTTCTGATTCGGAGTCAGAATCCTGTTGGAGGTTGGCACTTGCTGAGCAGTCTTCTTGCAATCTCTTGCCAGATGACATCTTCCTGACACACATAGCATTTCCTCTAGTTTTCAGACTGACCCTTGTACAATCACCGTTGATGGTATCGGTTTTATCAGTTTAGGGGAGAATTTGAAGCGAACCCCCTTATCCATATGAGGGAATTCGCGCCACATTGCCCTTTTGATATTCATTGACACACAGTACTGTGCCATAAAGTGGAGTATACGTTTATTCTCCATTTCAAATGGAGCCCCATACATAGCGATCCTTAGATCTGGGGGTTTGTTTAAAGATGGTACGTTATTGGCTCTTTTAGTTAGAATAGGTTGCCATTCATAACGCAATGGAGTGAATATAATACATCCAAAATCAAAATGTGTCACAATCTGTAGTACAATATATAAAGATATCTCTTACTCAAAGTTTTATTCCCTAGGAGGACTAAGCAGGCCGTCGGAACATTATATGTCCAGCCCTAACCTCCGCTACAATAGAGATACCTTGTCTATAAGAGTACTAACGCGTACTTACTAAAACATGAAACGACCAATGAAAACGTGAAAAGGACTTGGAACCGAGCAGAAAAACGACCAGGAAACGACCTCAAACTATATTGCAATGAATTCTAAGCATGTTAATCAGGCCGAAAAATCATCAATCATTTTTAAAAAATGTGCATTTTCGAAATAATGAAACATTAAAGTGACCCCTTCTTGATGTTTTTAAATACCCTCATGTCAATTATTATTTTCCTGATTCTTCTTTTTATCAGAAATGTAAGTTGGTTTTGAAGTTATTTAGGGGAATAGGACTGCGTTCGTAATCTTTGCTACCAGTATAATGTCGTTTAAGACGAAATTTAAGTATGTTGACCTTTTACAAACTTAATGAATTAGAGTGTCCCTTTAAACTTAACGGAAACACAATATAACAATTTTGTTAACTTTGTTATACAATGTTATACATCAAAATGTGGTTTAACACGAAACGAAATCTTAAGTCTTCATAATGACTCGAATTCTCCATCTACAAAGTAACAAAGCGATCATCCTTGTCGATGATCCACTCACTTTCTTCCTATCTGCGTAAAGAAATCAGTCAGTGAGCAGCGGCCGTGGGATTTGGGAGCAGTGCACTTTTATTTTTTAACCCGCGTCTTTTATTTTTCTGAGTTGATTGTCTGTGATATAACGCTCATAACCCACAACCAATTCATTTTGATGTATAACATTGTATAAAAAATTTAACAAAATTGTTACATTGTGTTTCCGTAAAGTTTAAAGGGACGGTAACTCCCAGATGTGACGTCATTGTCGCCTTGCATGTTTGTCCGTCCACAATTGCTCATAAACATTCAGGAAGGCACAATTCTTGAGTGTTTTGGAGAAACATATAATTATTTGTCGTTTGAGTGAACGAATTAGTCGTTGTTCTGAAAGTGAAGGTTTTCATAGAGATTAGAAGTTGATTCAGCGAGGTGACCAAGCAGCAGAGAACACGTAATAAATTTGTATTTAAAATTTTTGTTCACGTTGTGTGTAAAATTGAATACTTTCTTTGTAAAATTAAGTATATTTTTAGACATTTTTATGTATTAAAAAATTTTCTGATAATTAGTCGTTGTTCTGAAAGTAAAGGTTTTCATAGAGATTAGAAGTTGATACGTGCGCCCAAGTATCACTCTGGAGATTTTCTTTGCAAGAAAGACTTGATGATCTAATCTTTTTGTAATGTATATATTGAGAAGAGGCTAATTATTGTATTATATTGTAAATATTTATGTATGACTGTTTGTGTTTATGGGTAGAGTTAAGTTTTTGTCAGCAGCAAGCAGCAAGGTCACTCATGCTTGTATCAATAAATATAATATTTATATATTTTGTTAGTATATGAAGAATATTTAGGGTTGTGTATGTTGGGAGGGGTAGTTTGCAAACGAATCACGTGGAAGCGAATGTTGACTTGTCATGTACCAACCAACTCATCAACCACTTGGAAGCGGATGTTAACTTGTCAAATACCTACAAACCAACCACTTGGATGCGAACTTGTCATCTATCTAGCCACCCTGACTTTGATATGTATACAAATCTCACGATTTTAATCAAATGAGAAATTTTCTTAAAATATATTATTATAGATTATTGTGCCTATATTTATTACGTCACATTTTTATCAGTATATTTTGACCTTTCGGGATATATTTCGACATTAGTCTTAACAAACAAACAAAAACATTATACATTTTATAAACATTCACATTTCTCATTAAAATTAGGGGGAGGGGGAGGGGGTCTTTCCCAGATACTACCCCTACCTTCCAGACACAATATGTGTTTGATTCTCAAGGTTGCTTTTCTCCATAGTTTGTAACCTAAAGAGCCAAGTTGTTGGTAAACAAATTGGGACCTGAGTTAACAAACTAAAACAATAATTGAAACTGAATTGAAATTGTAACCCCACGAATCTATAAATTATATATTATATTGTATATCGTCACATATTTTCTATGTTTCAATACAAAGTTTAGTGAAAATATGTGACTAACGTTATATTGTGTTCAACATGTATAATATATACAGTCATTAAATTTAAATGATATTGTTTAAATAAAACATAGCTAAATATGTGACTAACGATGTTTTTGTTTTCCACACCATCTATTAGGTATACAGTAAACAAACAGAATTATTGAGAGTCATCCAGGCGTAAATATATGGCATTTTACTATTTTCATATAGTGCATCATTCGTACGATGAGTTCAAAATTTAAATATCTTGACATTGTCAAGATGCCCTACCACTCATAACCTTTATGATGTAATTTAAACCAAATACTAACGATCCAAACCGATCAAACTTTTATTACTATTATGATCCAATAAAATAGCCTGATAGATGAGCTGAGAGCTGGGGAAAAAATCTCAAGGAAATTATTTTCGTTTTATTCGAAAATACATGCCTAGTAGACTTTCCAAATTACAGCAGTAGATCCCCCCCCCCTCACGCAATAATTCCTCCCTATGGTCTTCCAATTCCTCCGATGTTAAAAAGCACTGCGTTACACTATAAATTATGTATGCTTTACATTATGAATGCTTTACATTATGATCTTGTAGCATTATGAAAGCTTTACATTATAACTACTTAACTGCATTATGGATGCTTTACTATGCGAATGCGTTACATTTTGAACAAGTTGCATTATGAATGCTTTACATTTTGAACAAGTTACATTATGAGTACTTTACATTTTGAACAAGTTGCATTATGAGTACTTTACATTTTGAACAAGTTGCATTATGAATGCTTTACATTTGAACAAGTTGCATAATGGATACTTTACATTTTGAACAGGTTGCATTATGGATGCTTTACATTTCGAACAAGTTACATTATGAATGCTTTACATTTTGAACAAGTTGCATTATGAATGATTTACATTTTGAACAAATTGCATTATGAATGCTTTACATTTTGAACAAGTTGCATTATGGATGCTTTACATTTTGAATAAGTTGCATTATGAATGCATTACATTTTGAATGTTTGAATAATTTGCACCATCAATGTGTTACATTAAAAATGTTGAAGAATACGTTACATTCTTCCCACGTTACATGATGAAAACCTTCCATTATGTTACAATATGATTTCGTTACATCATAAATTTCTCAAATAAGAGACGTTTAATACGTTTTGTGATGAAATGTCACTGGCTTAACGTACTCTTACGTCACATTTTAGCAGCTATTGTTATTATCATTATTATTGATAGTCACATTATGCATTGGTACAATTAAAGAGATAAAAGATATTATTATTTCTAAGGTAATAGGTCAAAATATATATGAAGAATCCTGAAATGAAAAGTGTTATCGTTTTTCTGAGCCACCAGATATATTTAAGAAGATGTGAAAAGTAAATGGGACGCTTGCTTTAATGCTTTTACATTCGACTCCTTACCTTACCTTAACAGGACAAAGAAAACACTTGTTTGTCCAATTATCTTTCTTTCCAAACAAAGAATGACGAATTATATTGCCTTTCCAAACTCTCATAGAGGTATCAAGGCGTTAATCTATCATATTAAGCAACATCAATGTCAAAACTCAACCCCTAAAGGCAGGATGTAAGGTTAAGGGACACATTTTCAAGATTTTAGCGTACAGTTTTCACAAATGCAGAAGGAAATTAGACCTAAGAAAAAGTGCTAATATCCCTTCAACAGATTTTCAGTTTGCAAAATCGAATGAATATTTGACTGTATATTTGAGAATTTGCAAATAAAAATAAAATATTAATGTGCCATATTTGCAATTAGTACTTTTTCTTTAAATTTCACGTGTTGAACATTTTTGTGAAATATTGAAATAAAAAAAAGTTTGATATCTGCTGGTATAAAAAATTGTTTGCAGTATTTGAGGCAACATCTGTCCAGTAGGAGGCTTTGTATTTACTATAAATCTGCGACCAAATCTAGCATTCGACAGTGTATCAGTAAGTCTTGAAATTGCTAACGTTATAACCATGAACAACCTATTATGCTCAGTATTGTTAATCTTCGTAACAGCAATAATCCTTATTGATGCCCGTAAGTATTTAATTTTATTTTCTAATGTGGTAAACGTTATTTGTCAATTAAATTTTAAGTCAAGTTTTCTAGATCTGGATTAAACTTCTGTCAGCTTTTTACCGATAGACGAGACTGAGACTGAGTTCGAAGCACATTTTGCAATTTGAAAGCTTTGAAACTAATACGACGCCTAAAAACATCTTCAGCTATCTTTAAGCGTTAAAGGTTATTCAACATATACTATTTGTATGACATTAATTTATTCGAAGGTGACATTCCCTTCTTCCCCTTATTTTTCAACTTAAAATCCACCCAAAGCTGACAATTTAATAGCAATCCCGCATATTCAATATGGTTCTAGTTACACAAGGTTTCCGTATGATGACGTTATCGAATGATCAGTGAATTCTGTTGTGATTTTTTGTAAATATCGCGTAATGGCTTACTGCGAGAAAATTTTAATGTTCATAGTAAATCCTGATTCGGTGCTATAAATATATAAAAGGGGTGATTGTTGATAAATCCTATGTCAGAGTGACATTATGTGTTCTAAAGCTATTCAGTCATTGAGGCATAAAATGTTTTAGGTTGGACACAATTCTTTTAAACACTAGGTCAGATAGGCACAGGTAATTAAGGCCCAGTTAGTTTGGCACATTGATATTAGAGTACCTAAATAAATATGCGCCTAATTTAAAATTTGCCTAATTAAACTGTGGCTAAATGGCCTGTGCCTATCTGACCTAGCTGAAATTGTGCTTTAAGTACTACTTGTAAATATTTGTGCCTAAGTGATAATGAACCGTTCTTTGAGAGAGTCACTAACGATATTCGTTATGATACCTATCTCAGGGAAACTGAAATGCTGTGACTTGAACTCAGTGGAGGCACCAGACCCCCATTGAGTCCGCCTGTTCACTATCTGTAACACCAGCCTGGGTACAAATAGTGGACAGATTGACTCAATTAGGGGACAACTGTCAAGACTGAATTCAAAATACACAACTTTATGGAGGCGCCAAAATCACGAGTCTCTCAAGTAATATATTAAGGGGTTCTACCAAGAAAATTGGCGAAATATTAAATTGATTTTGCGCATTCTGACACATATCTTGGAGCAAAAATGTACTAATTTTTAAAAAATAAAGTGGGGGGTTAAGCATAATATCTATGATTGCATGAACGACAGACATCTGACAGAAGTTAGAAATGATGCACAATGAAGGCATAAACTTCCCCGGTACACATAAAAAAATTACAAAGAAAAATTACAATCACTCGTAAGATTATCTCTTTCATTTACATTTCAGAATGCAATTACATATATACAAATGATAAATATTTAGATCCTGAGGCCTTTGGAAGTTCAACCTTGGAAGAAGACCAGAGTGGTTGTGATCAACGGTGTACTACCAACACCCAATGTACAGGCGCATTTTTCGCTCCAGAACCAGTCAATATTTGTTATCTGTATGAAGCTCCACTCATTTCCTTATATCTAGATTTAGATCTGACCCAATGTGAAGACAGTTGCAACCAGATGGACGAATGCATAACGTGGAGTTTGGGTGGACGTTTTCAAAGATGTCTTCTTTTTAACGTTGACCTGGACAACTTACCCAGTAATGTCGGTCAAAGAGATGCTGATGGAGAAACCATAGCAGAAAAACAATGTCTGAAATAAAAACTATTTATAACCATAAACATTTGTTATTACTTTTGTTTCATCAAAATGAGAAAACTGCAGCGCGAACACGATATCTGACATATTTGTCGTCCCTTCCGTTAGAGGCACCTTTTTTGGGGCAAGTTAAGATACTATTTGAAAGTAACCAATCATTTTATTTCAAGCTTATATTGCCCTGAAAATGAAAATGCTATAATGTACATCAATGTACATTCAAAATAAAACAACTGCAGTCTATTTGGTTTTGAGGAAGAACAAATTATAGTCATTGAAACTATGCAAATCAGCTTTGTATTGAATCTATTGTCGCAAACAGTCCGCCGAGATACATGCTAATATTTGCCGACTTTTTGCGTAGAGACAAAATACCGTGAGAAGGGTTGTGATGCCTTGTGATCATCGCAGAAAACGGAATATATTCTGCGTACATTATTGCGAAGCATTGAGATCGTCTACCTTTTCCATCACCAATGGTTCTCAAAGCCCATTGGAAATTGAGGCTTTAAAGACAAAAAAACAAAAACAACTACATCCACAGGCTTCGCGTTATTCTGACACAGAGCTTAACAGTTTTGATTTCCCGCTAAAAACTGTTCTACAAAGTATCGTGACAGTGACGTTTTTTCATATCATAATTAGCCTTTGTATGTGTATCGGGGACACCTATGACTTCTATTTGGGACATTCCAATTATTTATCCGATTTCAGTGGTTCCTGCAATTCCAAAAAGATTTAACCGGAAATGACGCAGATCCCTAAAGTGAATTCATAACCAACACAGACAACAATATGGTAATAATATATGTTATCTCCCTTAACAGAATGGCGGCATTTCTAACTAAAAATTGCTAACCACCTACAGAGTTTACAGACAAAGAGCTGGGCGCTCGGAATAACTTTCCTAACCAAAAATTACAGATATTCGCCGCTTTCTAGAAACAACCGTTTTCTCTATACAGGTTAAACATCTGGTCTTGAAAACATTTGCCTAAATATGACGTCATATACAAATATTCATTAACCTACAGTTTTCAACAAGTTGAAGGGAACTAACTCCAGCAAATAATCATTATCGTTTGGACCACAAAAGACTTACGATTAAAGGGACTCTTACTCGGTTTTCAAATGGCGATAAAACATCGCACAACAAAACTGAATATACCATTGGATAGATCTCATCGAGAGCTATAAAATTTGTTCAGGTCACGATATACGATATACTATTCATAGTTTCAACCAGAAAAAATAAAAATTCAAAAATCAGCTTTTTAAATATTTTTTAGTAATCGATAGTGGATTCCATAGACATCAAAATTAAACACATCGGAGTATCCCTTAAGATATTTTATAAGATATTCCAAAAGTTTTTTTTTCAAATATCTTCTTCCGGAAGTTGAAGTTAGCAAGCGAATCGCGTCAAAACCGGAGCGATATCGAAATTTTGCAAAAATGTCTGTCAACCTGTAATTCAATCACAATAAAATTGTAAATGTTAAAAAAACCGCAAAATATTAAAGTGGTATTCCGCTTTTTTGTAAAAAGTTTTCATAGAAACGTCGTTAATTATACCTGAAAATATTTCTAACGTGTGTTATTTATATCTATGTATCTTCTTGATCAAACTGAATTTGTTTTAAAATGGTTAATTAAAAACAGAGAGTACTTATTGTTAATTAAGCAGTTTGACCAGTATTGGTGTTTGGATTTATAATGGCTCGATATTATTATACAGATAACAGGATGATAGTCTTAGTCCAATATATTAAGTAGGCCAATATATACTGTCAATTTGATTGCCTGCTTACAATATGATCGCTGATGATAGAGCAGCTGGCTGGTGAACCTCTACGCGAGCCTCTTTCCTGTTGTTAACTCACTCATGCTCAATTATCTCACCGCACCCATTGACTCCTTCAAAATGAAGTTTTAACAGAACAATCGACATTTTTGTTAAAGAGGGTGGAGGTTATAAAAGCGTTTCCCCCTGTCAGTGATGCAGGTACGAGGGGCTGACATGGAAAAAGCGTTTAGTCGTTCGGATGGGACAATAAACCGAGGCCCCGTGTGCTACAGGCTGTGCACGTTAAAGATCCCTCGACAGCTGGAAATCGAAAAAGAGCAGGCTAATGCCGCTGTCCTGGCAAAATTTACCTCATTGCACCCTGCATGGCGCTGCCCGTCTTCATTAGCCCACATGGTGCAGAAAAGTAGGAAGTAAAACTCCATTTCATTTTTAAAGCAATCAATTTGTTTAAAATTTGTTTTGGGACAATACTCGTATAAGTACGAAGTTCGTAATAATTTTACATTGTGTAAAACTGTAATCTGTAATCGTGGGCTATGTAATGTTTTTTGCAAATTTTCCTGTGAAAAAAGTTACGAAGGAAACATTTTCGTGCTCTTATATTGACTTTTCGCTTGACATTGATATATCTAATCCTCTCATCTCTCTTACTACAGTTCGAATTGGAAGGAACAGAAACTCCACTGTTCATCGACTCTCAAGGATGCGTTGTTTTCATAGTTTGTATCCTCCAGAGCTATAACGAACTTGGTGGCAGAATGGAACTGTAAAAATAAATTGAAAATGAATTGGTATTGAATATTCATGAATCTCTACATCAGTATTAAATCGTATTTTTGTAGTAATTTAATATCGTCTCATAAAAAAGGTCAAGTTAAAGTATGGGACCAGTGTTATTTACCATACCATGTATAATACATATATTATACAGTTAAGTCACTACGGTATCTTATCAGTGTCGTTTAGACCCGAACATCTAGAAGAGGTTAGATTGTCTCTTAACCGAAATTTAAAGATTTGATGAATGATATAAAAACAAACTGATAATGTCAGGAATTTCTATTTCGTATATATCATATTTCAATTTATTCTAAAATTATCTCTTGTCAATAAAAAGTGTATCTGAAATATGTGACTAATGATATATTAAGTTGTTTGGCACACCGGAAGTTATTCAACCGGAAGTAGATTTGAAATTCAGTCGCTTTCCTGTTTAAAACCGAAAATGACGTACAAAATTTATGATAAACATTTCGCTTTAATAATCACATGTCAAGACAATATGTCAGTGAATTATACTATGAACAAAACGATGACAATCATGCTGAGTTTCATGGTTATGATCCTAATTATGTTTTTGATTTTAACTATTTAGATGTTATTTGATTGTTACTTTTCGCCCCTTCTGAATTATTTGTTAAATTTAAAATTAATAACAATGATATTCACTTAAAGATGGACACTGTTGCAAAATACAATGTCCTACCAATGGCATTAAACACGTGGCATATATATTTAAATGTTACTAATTCACATAAGCTGGCAAAATTAATATACAACAGAATCGCGAAATTACATAATATATTTTTGTCATGTTGTAAATAGTAATGTTACAAATTTGCTTGGGTTACAAGATTGTTTATCATTAGGTTTAATTAATGTTAATCATTTTGACACTCTGTCATCAACATCAACAACTGGTGGAATCACGGAGTCGTATATTTTGAACTGTTATCATGATTTGTATATAACAAACTAACCTCTGGCCAATTGTGCGAGTTATTATTTTATTTTCAGATCAGATCAGAAGAAAATACCCAACAGTTCCAGACCGCTGATTCTTAATGAAGTATTTGCTCCATTCCTGACCTTCCCATTAGGGAGAATCAAAATCTCCCTTCTCTTAAAATCTAATCAATATACTTTACTAATACTATATATCAAGTTTCAACAAGATCGAATGAAAGCAAATTTGACGCAATTATACTGAGTCAAGGGCAATAAACCGAAGCCGGTCATCAAATTATCACCTTAGTCGAACTTCACCAAGATCTCGTCAATATTCAAAGCATATCAATTTAATCAAGATCAGATAACAACTATAACCATCCATGCTAGTAAGGTTATCAGGACCAATTGTGTTGACACTAGCTTTTTGGGCGGTTACAACCCTGTTAGAAGAATTGATTTAAAATTGCACTGATATGATATTACCTTTATGATAACTCTTAATTTGATTTTTATTTGAAGTCGTCTTAAGCAGATCCCTTTCGTAAAGGAATCATATTACTATTTTTGAAAATAATTTAAGTCTGCTAACCAAAAGTTTAAATTTATAAATTCAACTTTAAAAAAAACTCACTTTGTGAAGGCTTTAACTATAAGGAAAAACAGGAAACATTTGGTTGCTTGCCTTAAATCATTACTTTATAAAAAATAGTTTAGTGGGAATTACTCTCTTTGCAAATAGTATTCATGATCAAAACCCCCTTGGTCGATGATACTCCATAGAAACGAAGTTGGTCATCCTCGGTGGCCAAGAAACTGGGCAAATCAACGTAGTTATTTTTGTACTAAACATTATTTATTAAAATTAAATTACGAAAACGGCATCGATATTAAAACTCTTGTTATTTAGAGTATCAGCAGTTCAAGGTAATAACTACGGTTTAGTCGGTATCTTCACCTTTTGGCGTGAACCCTTTTGTGTGGGATTTCGACTCGATCTGACAATTCCTGGTGTCAGCTTATCCAATTGCTTACTACTGGCAGTAACTGCTATGTTTGGTCTTTTAATTGTCTTTATTAATTTCTTCTCAAATAGATGATTTGAACCTATTCGTGTTGCCACATCCTGTTTGTTGACATTAACACTTACTGTTCTATTAATAGTCTGATTTGGTGATTTGCGTGTATTTGAACGTTGCTGTGTACTTTCCACATCGCTGGCATTTTCTTTAGCATTCTTATTTTTAAATGACCTTTTGATCCTTTTTAATTTCAAATTGATAAAATTTCGAAAATGACTAGTGTTAAATTTCATCATTTTCAAATGACGCCCTAGAGTGGCAGCATCGAGTAAGACGACTAACAAAAGTACGGTGAGGAGAAGAAAAAGTCCTAATAGTCCAAATACAACAGCTGAACCACGATAATCGACGGCGCTTGTCTGGTGACGTTTGTACAATGATGTTTGGACTTTGTCAACTGCAAGATATTTTTTGATTCCTTCCACAAGTTCACCATGATCTAAAAATATATTAATACGTAATAATTTACATCTTCCATAAAGAAAAAATTAGTTACGTTTGTTGTAGGATAAATCGCATAACGGTTTCACTTTACTGTATACAGCCAACAATGAAGCACCAGAACAGCAGCACGCCTACCGACTACTAAGAGAAATATTTCAGAATAAAAGAACAAGGGTAGACCAAATAGTGTGGTACCTAGAGATGTGAGGGCATGTTAGTAAAACATGTTTTATACATAAAATAAATAGAAAATGTCGATATCTGAGTGTAAGCTAATTGTGTGACAAAGATACGAAGATTTCTAAAATCTGAGGTATTTAAAATAATTATTATAATAAAATATTCCTACCATATAGCCACTGAATTGATAATATTGGTGCAGGTATGAACTGATCTGAAACAAATGTAATGTAAATTGCGAGGTTTTCAAAATTCAATAAAAATTAGGCTCAAGCGATTTTAAAATTTTAATTACGATTGGAACAATGGGGTATACGGGAACTTACTCAAGATTCGCTTCCACGACAAAAAAAAAAAACCGATAGCTTGCAAGGTAAGGTAATATACGCCCGCTGGCAGCTTTGATTTTAAAATAAAATAAAAAATGTTGGCAGTGCAGTAACATCCACAGTATGAAATGTTTAACCTTCAGTCATACACTTCTTTTGAGTGATACTGAATACTATTATCAAGGCATAATACGATAAAAAAAAATGCGCCTTTTAGTGTTAACTAGCTATACATTAAAGCGCTTTCAAGAACGAGGTCAATAACTAAAAATGTTTTTCAAGTTTTGATTTCAATAGGGTACATCCATTGGTGATAATAAGCAATTTCACAAAGTTTCTTCAAAATTCATCGAGAATTGTGCCATATAGAATGTTTACAAGCTAAAAATTGAACAAGTTTCCAACAACAGGGGCAGTAACTCATATTGAAAATTCTTCTACTTTTCTAATTTTCAATAGGGTTTATGTTTGTGTGATTGCAAACACTTACACCAAGTTTCGTCAAAATCCGTCAGAGTTTTTACGAGCTAAAATTCGACATTGAATACAGCAAGACCTATAGGACTAAATATTCATCATAATGTAGGCATAGCACCCTTTGTTGTCCCGTTCAATACAACCAGCAATCGAGCAAGCAAGATAGTTCATGCCCACTATAAGAGCCTTCAAGAGTTCCCCCATGTCTATAAGCAGAAAATGATAGTTGCATATTCAAAAAATAAGAAATTAAATGATAATATTGTTCATAGTAAACTAAAAACAATCAGTACATAACAGATACTATACTTCTTTTTTTTTATTTTTTCTAATTTCAGATCAGAATAAGAACAGAAGAAAACCCAATATCAAGACCCTTAATCCTAATGTCTAAATAAAGTGTCTGCTCCACCCTCGGTCTGTACATTTGGGAGAATCAACCCTCCCTTCATCGAAATCAAACTGAACACTTTTCTGATTTCAATAGGGTTTATTCTTGAGTGATTAAAAACACTCCACCAAGTTCCTTTTAGATCCGTCAACAATTATGGACGGATTGCAAACATGGGTGACGCCAATATACGACCACCATTTCATATGGGCGTATAAAAACTATTCCATAACTATTTCAGCTTTAACCATGCTCTTAATTATCATCATCATATCGACAAAGTTTGAAGTGCATTGAATAATATTAGTATTTTCCCATTTTAACTGGCAGGTATCACGATGAAGTGGTACATCCTATTGATCAAATACTCACTTGACATTATGAAAAAGTAAATTTCATTTCCGTAGGTCAGTCTGGTATAATTAAATCCTATACTTTTAGCTTTAGTTGTTGCTACGGGGAAGAATTGTTTGTCACTACTTGAATAATCTGGACGAAATACCTGAATTGATAAGTAATGGCCCATAAAACATAAGAAATTCAGCCTATTTTGTAGGAGAAAATACAAATTATAGACATTGACAAGCCTGATAAAACGGACAATAAGTTTAATAAGGTATTGATTTAGCCTGGCAAATATTATTAATTTATTATTAAACAAACCTTAACTGGAACTGAACATTTGTAAGTTATTATCAAGGATGTATTCTCTTTCATTTTCTAATGTTTTTTAAATTTCTTTCAACTCTAATGCTTTTCTGGGAGCTTGAATTCTTAAAATATGTACCTCTTCTTGGCAATTGGAGCTTCTATATGGTACAAAATTTACGTAACAGCTATCAGATGTGCTTGTTTTGAAACTAACAAACTTGATGAAATTGGTTGCTGTAATTTTGCCTAAACCAATACCATAGATATATCTTGGCGTACCCAAAAAACATATCTGAAAATCAATGCCTTTACTGTATCTCTTGTAGAGGTCATGGCGGTCTATGTGCCTAAGCTATCTTATGAAATGGAAACATTGCTCTTGCGAGAAATATTCATCTTAAGTAGTAGTAGTATACATGTATATTGGTGATATCTCTACAAATATATTTCTTTAAAAAGACACATTAAACAGATAAGATAATGGCAGGTATTTCTGAAAATTAGGATTTTATCTTAAATAAGATATAATTTAACAATATTTCAGATCCTTCCCGAATTGAACACTATCGTTTGTCAGTTTTTTTTTTCACTTTTCAATCCAGTCTGTTTTCGTGACCACCATATATCACAATTTTCGACAATTTGATCTTATGTTACTTAACGTTATAAAATATGCTAATGATGTGTGATGCATCTGTATTAAATACGCATTAATCTGTTAGCTAAGACAAATCCTTGACAGTCGAAAGTAAAAGTAAAACTTTCTCTTACCTTATATTCTTCTCCTGTTGTTAAATAGGTATCATACGATTCCGTTTTAATCCTTTCACTGTTGGCAGAGTAGGACACGCCTGGAATTAAATAGTATATCACTCAAAATGAATTACTCTGAGGCTGAAGACTTAATTGAATGTTCTCAATCATTGTATGAAACTTTATAACGATATATTTAAATGTGTTCGAATGGTTCTTTAGATTGTGTTCGAATGGTTCTTTAGATTGTATTCGATATCATAGAAGTATACAGTCTGGTAATTTTACATTTGGAATTAAAGACACTATCTTCCCGATGAGATCGATCATAATGGCTAATTTTTCTATTTCAAAATTTTCTTTTCATCGGTTGAAATTTTTAACATTAAAAGGAGAGCTATTCATGAAATACCAACTTAATTTGGAGGAACAAGAGTTTTCACTGTTAGAAAATGACAGTACTGAATACATTAATCTACAAACATCAATTTCTAGATTCATCGTTGCTTCATTTATTTACATTGTAATTTACATTTAAGTTACATGATAACCCGTCAGTAATTGCGCCTTTTACCGTGTTTACGAATTTCAAAAAGAACTCGTTTCAACGAACAAAGCAATACATACTGTTTAATATTTTTTAATTATTATAATTAACAATAGTTATCATGGGTGACAATGGGTGTAAATATACTATTACTGCAAGTTAATATTGAGTAGCCTAATGCCGACCATAACCCAGTATGACACTTAAAAATATGTAGATAAACTCGTTTTTACTTACTACTTAAATCTGATGGGTTTCTGGCACTAGTACTAGAGAAAGCCATTTTGGGACCAGCGTTATCAGACCATTCGACAGATAACCACTTCCTTCCGTTCTTTCTCGCCACCGATATCATCGATTCATTAAACCTGTAAAAAAAGATTTTACATCAGATGTAGAAAGTTTATAATCCAGTAGAAGGGTAGATACAATATTTCTGCATTAGGTTTTTGCTTTTTGTCCTGATTAACTTTGGTTGGTGATTTGATATTCATAACCTGCTGCATGCCAGGCTTTAAGGTGAGAATAAGAAAATAAACTAATAAATTTCCTTTAACCTGAGTACTAAATCGTCTTTTTTTTTCTCCATGATTGTATCTTCTTCTGCAGATATAAGTCTCTGGGCTGCAAACCAGCTCTCGGGTTGTTTAGTTGTACATGTAGAGTTGAACGCCATCGTCCATAATATCTCGCCCTCGTCGTTATGTAATGCCATTCTCACCTTGATACAGAAATAATAAATCAAGAAATGACATCAATTGCTTCTGATGTGTATATGTCATTTACAATTTGTCAACTGGTTATGTTGAGGTGAAATTTACTTTCTGCGAAGAGATGCCCAATTCTAAAGTTGTATCTTTAAGCCATAACTTTCGTACCTTTTTTGGAACTATGGTTTCCCATTGGTTCAATTTGGCGTTTCTATAATTTCCATCGTTAGCTATAATCTTGGGGCTTTTTAATCCTTTATCATGGGCGCTGTCACCATGACCACCACCGCTTTGGAAAAAATCCCAGACATTCACTCCAGTCCCATGCTTTACTAAATATACGATTTCCCACACTAATAAAACAAAAGTCGCCAAGAGTTAATCCATTAAAAAAAAATACTTAGTCACCAGTTGTGTTTAACGTGTATCTGCAACTAATCTAGATGAAAATGAGGATTCTACGAGCGTTATGCGACCAAATAGAAGCTATCCCCAAACTTTTTATCACCAGAGTTAAAAAAAAAATTGCAACCGAATCACCTCACTATCGATCAATAAAGCTATTGTGGCACCGAGAGTATAAAGTATCATTCTCTTTTAACTCACGTTTCAGGTGAAAGAGAAACAGATTGAAATCTTAACCACATGTAAATGATATTGTTATCTCTGAATTCAAAATCTTTACTTAGTTTATTTAGCTCCCAAATAGGAGCTACTGTGAAAGATGTAATTCAAACCAAGATAACCACTCATGATTACACTCTAAGAAAAGGTCATATTGCTGTGAAACTTCTTACCTTCTTGAGAATGTGAAAAGTGTGACAAACACCATATAAAAAGCACTGTTTTGTAAGTTACATATACCATTCTGTAATCATCAGTCCAACACCTTCGTACCAACAAAAAACTGCAGCTACAACTTTAATGTTTCAAGATCAGCATACATTTGGAAAAAGACTATAACTTTGATACGTCAGTATGGGCAAACAGCACAATGAATTTCGATCCTATTCGATCGACTTACAGCGGTAAATGTGAGTTGCTGCTAAATGTCTTTTTGATTAGTCTTTTTGTTCCACCAGTCATATAAATCCTGCCTGATATTTTGTGACAAGATTTTGTGATCAGTGAAGTAATTGATTGTACATTATGGTATTGGTAATAACAAGAATTATTTTCAAAAGCTAGCTATAAGAAATCAATTAATTCTCGAGGTGTTTTTGTTCCGTATCTGTAAATTATACATTAAATTTGAATGAGGTGTGAAAAAAAGATCGAATACCCTTTCTGTTGACCAAAATTCGAAAGATATAAATTACGATTCGATACCATTTTTCCTGATGAAATATTTCCTTATTTATAACTGATATAACTCCTCACATGGAAATATTAAACAAATGGTTGACTTCCCTGATAAATTTGCAGTACATCAAGGTGGTCGCCAATCTGTCAAATTGTACTAAAAATCTAATTTGTATAAGATACTGATGATTTAATGAAACACAAAATTTCATAAAATTTTGACATAAACTGTCAACAAATTTTGATGCATTTTTACTAAGTCAAGGGCAATAACTCAAATTCCATTCAAAATCGTCAAATCCAAATTTGACCAAGATCTCATCAGATGAAAGCTGTAGTCTCTATAGTTTTCACAAACAAATTTTGACGGTTTGTCATAAGTGAATAACAATATACCGTTCATTCAAAATCCTCAAATTCGAAATTGTCATCTCATGATAAATGACCACACTAAGTTTCATTTAAATGATATGATTTCTGTATATTTATAGAAAAGAAAAATCTGAAAAGAAACAACAAATTACAAAATTAAGCTACAGTAAAAACTATATTGAGAGACTATTGAAGGGAATAATCAAAAATGGTCTCTTACTGGAGTTGGTCTATTATGCGAATTGGATCAACTGCAGAACCATTTTGTTTTGAATGAACTAGGAAGCTTATCTAGTTCAACTCATTATTTGATTCCATCTCAGAATTTACGCATAACAATAACATAAAATTGTATATATGTAAAAAAAAAAAGGATAAAGTGGGGAATGGTGGTCTATTAGCTCCACAAAAACAGGAATTGTAACTGAATTCTTTTTCAAGTGTTTAACAATATGTAAGCTTTATGATAGCTATATATTTGAGCATTTCTTCAAGCATTTTATGTTTCTATTTATTTTTATATCTAAGTTTCTCTTTTGTTCATCCCAAACAATATTATATTTTCAAACTGGCTGCCAAATTGACTGCCTTAACTGTTCGTAGTTGCCCGGTTTGCTGAAGTTGTTATATATATTATATATAACGCATGTCAACCAACTTTTCATTTTACCATGCACAATTGCGAAGAGTGCTTCTCAACCTTTATTTGTCCGTCATCCACCTCCAGCAGTGTAAAACGTCAAATAAATAAAAAAGAAATAATAAAGCCTATACATGCTAGTAAGGTCTTGTATCAAACTTATTCAAAGAACACAGGCCCACTACCAGCTGTCAGAAATGAAAACAAAGTCTCTAATGGTTTAATATGTGAAACCAATCATCCGATTGTTACTCATTTCAAGCTTTACTAAGGTCTCATACTCATACCGAGTCTCATCAAGATCGGATAAAAATGTCTCTTATCAGGCCTAGGAGCCAAATTAGACGCATTGAATTAATTCAAGGGCAATAACTCAAAAACCATTCATCCAATTATTACCATTTTTGAACTTGAGATCTCATCAATATATACATGCACACCAAGTTTCATCAAGCTCAGATTAAAGCTGTAGTCCCTATCGTGCATACAAAAATGGACGGGCGGACAGGGGCGACGGCAGAAATGTGGACGTATAAAAAGTGCAATGAAGATGTCAAGACCCTTCAGTGAGAAACTTGTACATGGTGTTCTTGAAAAAGGACCTTATCAACTAGCTTGTTAATTACAGGCGTAGATCGCCATGACAAGACTTGCCTCATTTTCTTTTTATCTGCCACCCAAAAGGCCATGAAGTTTTGTGCTTGCGAACTCCAATTTCAAGAGTTGTGTATACGTCCTATGAATAATTTTGTGGAGAATACAATATTAACTTTAAAATGGATCAGGTTTCACAGGTATAAAGAAATTAAGTTAATAAGATCTGTTTGCACGATTCTTAGTGAAAGTTGAAAAAGCGTAACAAGTTTTATCAAGATTCTATAAAAACGTAAAATTCTATAGTGTCCACAAGCCACATTTGGCTCGTTTTTACTAAGTCAAGGCCAATAACTCCACAACCGATCTTCCGATTATTACCAAATTCAAACAATATTTACATACAAACCAAGATCATTAAGATCAGATAAAAACTGAAGCCTCCATCTTGTCTACAAGAGAAATTCCCCCATGTCTATAAGCAGAAAATGATAGTTGCATATTCAAAAAATAAGAACTTAAATGATAATATTGTTCATAGTAAACTAAAAACAATCAGTAGATAACAGATACTATACTTCTCGCCCATTGGGCGAGTTATTTTTTCTAATTTCAGATCAGAATCAGAACAAAGAAAACCCAATATCAAGACCCTTAATCCTAATTTCTAAATAAAGTGTCTGCTCAACCCTTTGAATTTAGACAAAGATTCCGGTGTGAAAGAGCAACTTTTAGTGTCATTGAAGCCTACATCCAAACCAGCTTACCCACATGGGCTACATAACCGTATTTTTTCAAATTTTACCAGGAAATATTAATATACACTTGTATTTTTTTTTTTTTCAGGTCAGCTTTCAAAGATCATAGTGGATCATGTGATGCCTAAAGTGATAAAATGGTTAACTGGAAACCGACTGCATGATATAATGGAAGGATTTAAGGCATTCCAAGGATTTCCAAGCCTTATTAGGACATTAGATTCCACCCATGTACCATGCACCACTATTTATAGCACATTCCTTCGTGTTTTGATCAGTGTGAATATTCATATGTCTGCATTTAACATGGTTTCAGGAAAGGTAAGAAAAAAACCAGAATACCAGTAAAATTACTTACGAACTTCCACATGCCGCCATCATGGAAAAGTCGAATCAAATCGCCCAACCACCTCCTGGGACGGTTAGGTCGATTAGCCAAATCAGTTTAGGTAAACTGTCTCACAAATGTACCGATTAGCCTTAACGTCCTGGCACACAAATGCACAAAATAGCTAATCTACCTGATCGAACCGGTCGACAAAAACGCCTCATATATATATATATTTGATAAGTTGGAAAAGTTTGCATTTGAGAAACAGTTTTTGAGGTATTGCTCTTGACTTAAAACATGCTCAATGTCCATTTTCATTCCATTTTAAAGTTTGTGTGATCGAATTGATAAGTTCTTGAATGGATTAGTTCATTAGGAGTATTGAATATAAACTTAATCATTATGGTTCATGTTGCTCCTTATTGAGTCTAAGACGAATGATTACCCTGCCTTGCACGCCATCTCTACATATGTATGAAACAAGCAGAATGCATATCCATCATAATTGTAATCACATTGCATGGAGAATGACAACAACACATCTAAATTGTCTGGTTCAATTAAGCCATAGAAACCAAGTCAAGTCTGTAGTATTTTATGACAGTTTATCTCTTTGCTATAATGTTAATAATATGTTATAATAAATAATTATATTTATAGTTAACCAACCAAAGCACAATTTTGACTTTAAATCATTACTAATATGCATATAACAATAAAATAAGAGAGCTCAATTATATGGTAACCCTACTAGCAATTGCATTTAAAAACTTCTCAGCTTATCAGTATGATCAGCTTCAAGAAATGGACTTTCACACATCTGATGAAATGGTCTCAGACAGGATATTTTTTTTCTTGATAGAATAATAGAAATATGTTTCTTTTGTGGGTAATATATATAAACAGAATTATGTATTATATATAACTGTTAAAGTAGAACTCTTGGGCGAAGCGAGTCAAGTAACATAAAGATTACAGTCAACAGGAAATTACATGGTCTGTTTTATAATACTTATGTCCTATTGTTGAATCTTTGTAAGATTAGATATGAGGTCAAATCAAGTAAGGATCTATTTTTGGCATCGGTTCATTTGGAAGGGGAGCATCGAGTGTAGATGAAATGACAAGACTAAATATTATACTTCTTAGTTAGTAGAGTTTGTTTAAAATTAATATAAGTACGTTCCATGATATACAAAACTTATTATTACAATTCATTTTCTGAATAAGATGACATTTTATTTGTCAGTTATTTGAGCAACATAAAAAATCATGATCATGTCAAGAGGTTTCCTTTACAATTCAGTTTACATGTGATATTGCATCATGTGAGACATGAGACTTCAACAAGGGGGGAAATAAACAATTTCACCAAATTTTACAATTTGTATCTGATTTTAATGAAATTTGGTGTGATCATATATATTGACAGTTTGGATTTTGACGTTTTCTCGATGATAGATTTTTGAATTATTGTCCCTTAATATCTTTAATTTAGACGTGAGACTGAGAGTTCGATTTAATCACACCAAATTTAATTAAATTCGGATGAAAACTGTCGCCTATATAGTGTTTTTACTAAGTTAAGGGCAATAACTTAGAAACCTTTTATTGAAAGATAGCTTGCTAGGCAAGGTAATATACGCCCACTGGCAGCTTTGATTTTGAATAAAAATATTTAGCAGTACAGTAACAATCACCAGTATGAAACAATCAACCTTCAGTCATACACTTCTTTAAGGCGATACTGAATAATATTGAGTACGAGTTATTGCCCATGTTCTTGAAAACGTGTTTAATTTTTAACTCGTGAAAACTCTAGAAGGCAAATATTCAATCTTCAGCTCGGTACTGAATAATAAAACCAAGTTTTGTCAAAATCCGGCAAGAATCATGCCTTTTAGTGTTTAAGAGCTAAAATTTGAAAGCGTTTTCAAGAACGAGGTTAATAACTCCTATGAAACAGTTTTCATTTTTTTTTTTATTTTCGATAAGGGTTCATCCATGGGTGATAATTAACAATTTCACCAATTTTCGTCAAAATCTGTCAAGAGTTGTGCCTTCTAGAGTGTTTACGAGAAAAAAAATTGAACGCTTTCTCAAGAACATGGGCAATAGGTTATACTAAATATTTTTCTGATTTCAATATGGTTTATCCTTGTCAAAATCCGTCAAGAATTGTGCCTTCTAGAGTGTCTACGAGTTAAAAATTGAATGTGTTTTCAAGAACACAGGGCAAAACTCGATACTGAATATTTTTCGATTCTTCTGATTGTCAATAGGGTTAATCCTTGGGTTATTACAGTGTTTACAAGCAAAAATTGAACGCGTTTTCAAGAACAAGGGCAATAACCTATACCAAATAATTTTCGATTCTTCTGATTTTCAATAGGGTTCATCCTTGGGTGATTACGAACACTCACAAATTGTCAAAATCCGTCAAGAGATGCGTCTTGTAGAGTGTTTACGAGCAATTGGAGCGACGGACATGGCTGACGGCAATATATGCCCCCCCCCCCCCCTAATTTCGTGCTAACCTATTTTTCGTGCATCTCCAGAAATGATTAATAATTTACATGTGCGATATCGCGTGACCTCCGCATTTGCTTTTTTTGATAAACATGGGTTATCTATACAATGTCAGCTAGTAGAATGAATTCAGTAGTTTCAAGCAAGGTAAAATGTATTAATGTATTCTTTGACAAATATACAAAATGGCGGATTTCAGTTATTACCAAACATCACAATTTTTATCGGCTAAATTTCGTTATAATCCCAAGGTGTAATCGGAATTCCAAGTCTGCTGGAATGTAGTCCAATGAATGAAGACACGTGATCAACTAGCGGATTCCGTGTCAGCAAATTCTATGGAACACAATGATGGCCGTATTCTTATGTTGTTTCAATCACTCCTAGCAATAAATCACGCTACGTTTCTTATTTTGTCAGTCATTATTTTTTTTAAATCATGGTTCTTTGAAGGAATTGTCACTAGTTAAAATGAATTGATATTAAAGATAAATACTAAGAGAAGTTGAATATACCACAGGGTATCAATACACGTGTTTTACTTACTAATAGATCAAACATTGTACACGAAAATAGGTGACGCATTTTGCCACCGTTGTCGAGTTCGTTACTCGTGAAATATGGGTCAAAGTGATGGATTCTTAAAGAAAATCGAAACAAACCAATTTTAAATATTTTGTAGAATATCGGAGGAAACATCTTAGACGAAATTCGGTGTTGAATCCTTATATACACGAAAATAGGTTACACCACTGTATATATACAACTCATGTACAAATTATAACTTTGTTGTTGAGAAAATTATAAAATACATTTTATATACATGCATGCAACTACATTAATATTAAAAAATTCCGATCAACAAATTGATTTTGACATTCATTTCTGTCTCTGAAGTTCTTAATATAAACAAATAAATATGTAAATAACTTTAAATAAGCAACTTTAATAGTCTGTTCGAAAATGTATTCTTATAAAGGAATGTACAATTTCATATTAGCATGGATACAAAACCTCAAACGAATAAAAAGAAACAATCCAAATTTCAAATCATTCAAACTTTGATGCTACATATTACATGTGTGACATGAAATTAAAACAATAAACGAGAATTGGTCAGGTCAGCAATAAAAATACCATGTGACCTGAATGTTTGTTCGAGTACCATAGGCCTATTTGACCAACATTATCGAATATATATAACATCGTATTATATATTTATGAAACAAGCAGAATGCATATTCATCGAAAAAATAATCACATTGCATGGAAAATGTCAAAAAACATATCCATATTGTCTGGTTCAATTAAGCAAACTATGCAGCAGTATTGACTGGTCACATCCAAGTCAATATTCAAACCCCTTAAAGTCTAGAATAAACTTACTTTCCATGCAATTCAAAACCCTGTGTCATTTTTGTTCTGAATCCCTTTTATCAGGAGCTATAAATATTTAGACATTTCATCCCTTTAATATAATGTAATTTGTAAGCCAACCAAAGCACAATTTTGACTTCCAATTATTACTAATACTAATATGTAGATTAAATGCAGGTAATAAAAACAAAGAAACTCAATGATATGGCAAACCTACTAATAATTGTATTTAAAACTGCTCAGTTCAGTATAATCAGGACTTTCACTCTGATATAATGGTATTGACAGGTTATCTTTTTCTGATAGAATAATATAAAAATATAGTCTTGTTTCTTTTGTGGATAATTATATATTAGCAGAATTGTGTATTATATATAACTATTAAAATAAAACTCTTAGGCTAGGTGAGTCAAGTAACATGAAGATTACAGTCAACAGGAAATTACATGGTCTGTTTTATGATACCTATTGTTGAATCGTTGCAAGATTAGATATGAGGTCAAATTATATAAGGATCTATTTGTGGAAGGGGTGCGTTGTGTATAAAGGGAATGTCAAGACTAAATATTATATTTTTAGTTCATAGAGTTTGTTCAAAAAGTACCTTGCCTTATATATAAACATTCTTAATACAATTAATCTTTTAAATGATATGACATTTTATTTGTCAGTTATTTATATAACAATATAAAGTGATGATCTTGTCAGGGGTTTTCTCCTGGTATTCACTGTCAACATGTGACCTTGCATCATATGAGACATGTACACAAAACTCCTTAACAAAATGACTGGATAAAGTGGATGAAACAACACCAAAATAAATCAATCAATGAATGTCCCAATATACAATTGATATAGCTGCAGCATTTTATAAATTATATAGATTTGGTGATGTCATAATATAAAATTAGATTTGGCTTTCCCTTATCAATGAATTTATACAATGTTTTCTATGTTAATTAATGAAATAATGAATTTAATGCTTGTACAAATGACAAAATTTGAAAAGTACCTAAATAAATCTTCTACTCTTTATGAAGATGACACTAATACATAAATCATACTGAAATGAGAAATATAATATGACATGTTATAAAGGATATGAGGTTAATCTTTATTTTGAAATGTGTTAAAAACAGACCACAAAAAGGTTTATTTTTAGATTAAGGGATGGATAATTTGTACAGCATTTTGGTAGTTTTGAATTGAAGACTATTATGTCAAATATGACCAGAAGCTACAGTAAAGGCTAGGCTGTTTGTTGCATTACATTTAGACTGCTATACTTACTTTAACAGTGAAACTTAACCCAAATAGTCATAGATTTAAAAAAAAAAAATAACATGAATAGACAGAATTTCTTCATGCCCTTTATCTACATGTAAATCTGTGATAATGACGCAAAAACAATATGAATCAGAAAATGTAGACAATATGTCGCATGGATCAAGTTAACTTGTGTTTACTTGAAGAAATAGCATAATTCCAATAAAAATTAATTGCATGATTTTTTTGAGAAAAACGGGTCATATCAATAATACATCTGTCATTAATCATAAAGTTGAAAATTTTCAATTGTACTGGTATGTAATATGTATTTCACTCTTATTTTTTAAGAAGGAAAAATACTTACCTATATAAATAATAAAAGAATGAGAGTAGGTAAAATGCTAATTTGATCCAGCCTTCTTTTTGAGCACGATTTAATTGATCTGCATTCATTATAGATGTAGGATCATATAATCCTGGTGACGACATCACAGGCCGAGTCATATACCTATAACAACAAAATAGTTGAAGTTAATGAGATAAGATGTACATATAAAGCAGAAGAACCACACTATAAAATCAAAAGCATAGAAAAATTTTTAACCTGTAAACAATCCGCTCTCTTAGATACTTTATTACCTGCACGAATCAGTACCATATACTAACTATTTTGAAAACATTAGATAAATGAATACTTTTATACAGTGTCATCATGTTTTTTCCCTTTAAAGTAATTATATTTTATTGAAATAATTGAATACTGATCTCTTTTTATAACGACAAATTTTGGGTTATTACAAGTATTTGCTTAGCGAAATAAAACAATACAAAACATCAAATGAAATGAAATGAAATGAATGGAGTTTTACGTCCTACTTTTCTGCACCATGTGGGCTAATGAAGTCGGGCAACGCCATGCAAGGTGCAATGAGGGAAATTTTGCCAGGACAGTGGCATACAAAACATCAAAACTTGTCTGATATATTGATAATTAACAATATGGTGGACATTTTTGAACCTTTTTGATTTCATGTCAGAAATCTGTACTTTCTTTAATACAAACATGAAATTGTAATGATGAGATTAGACTACAAAACTCCCTACATACATACCTATGAACATGATATACAGCTAATGGTAAATTAAATAACAGTGATCCAAATTGAAATGAGCATAGAAACAGAAAAGTAAATAACATGTGTATAAAATACTCTGGTAGAACAAGCTGAAAGACAAAAAATATCAAACTTAACATCTTGATGAAGATTAAGGCCATTCTAAATCATAATGGCTTATAGCAGACATCCTGCAATCAGGAAAGTAGGATTTAATAATTAACCTCTTGTAATCTTTATTCAATTTATCTACAGAAGAAATCTTAATTGTTTATTATTGAATCTAACTTCATTTGAATCAATGAATACTGGTACCGGTAATTGAAATCTTAAGACAAACACACAGACTAATAATAATGCAAAATTCATCTGCTAACGTAATAAATGTAATATGTTTCACTCACTGGATTTAGGCTGCTGCATTGATCAATGGGATTCTTGTAATCTGTTTTCAATTCATCAAAGGCTATAATCTGAAATAACAAAAATTATAGGCTACTCATTCATATCAAATTTTTAAAAAAATGTGTTGATGGCCTATTTGTTACTGCTTTCATGTTAGTCACGGCTCTACTCTATCTGATATCGCTGTTCTGTGTAAATAGCTTAGATGGCGCTCGATTGGAGACTGAATAAGTTCTGTCTGTTCCAATTCTGCCACCAATTGAACGGTATGAAAGCGGATATTTCACATTCAGTATTTTCCAATCTATTGACTTCTTTGTCTCTTTGACTTTTGTCTGCACCTATCTTTTCAACACACATAGAACGCATTCCGAGTTTTTTTTTTTTTTTATTCCAAAATAAACTCTGATCATGCAGAAGCACTTTAAACACGGGCTATTATGGTATGCTTTGTTTTAAAGTTTAATTCCTTGGGCCAACAAAAAGAGAGAGGAAAAGGAGGGAACAACCTCCATCCTCCCCCCTAATAACTGTTGTCCTGAATGTGAATGCTTGCTGATTCGAGTGTGAAATAACTTTGACAGTGACGGAAAGGTCGATTAAGAAATGATGGCATTTATTTACTACGAAGTAAGTTCTCTACAACTTGTTTGGGCTTATGTCAATGAAGACGGGGGGCGATTAAGAGAGTTTGATTAATATATATCACATTCTACACAACAACTTAACAAATAACGATCAATTCACTTACATGAAATATTGCGAAAAATATCAAAACTGCAGTTAATATCAAGGCCACTATGTAGCAAAATGCGGCAAATGTAAACGCCATTGCTCTATTTCATGGGAGATAACTCTCGTCTCTCCGCCTAAAAATAGACTTGGATTTTGAATAAATAAACCAAGTACAGTGATGTAACCTATTTTCGTGCATATAAGGATTCAACACCTAATTTCGTCATAGTTAAAAAAACGGGATTTTTTTTTTATGTCATAGATGTTTCCTCAGATATTCTACAAAATAATCAAAATTTGTTTGTTTCGATATTTTTTATGAATCCCTCATTTTGACCCATATTTCATGAGCAACCACCTCGACAACGGCGGCATAATGCGTCACCTATTTTCGTGTACAATGTTTGATCTATAAATAAGTCGAGAAAAACATGGACTCACTCCACTAAAACATTTTATGAAAATGATTGTTTGAATAGTCCATGCTATTTTTAGAAATCTTCTTTCTCTCTCCCATTTGAGGTTTTTGCATGCCTATTTTGGGGTAATTTTTTGTCTAGATTTGGAATTTGATGTCTAAAATTGCATTATCTTTAAGATTTGGTCAGATGATTTCATTCGACATATTGGAAAGCTTTCAACGAGATTTCTGGAAAAGTTGTGGAAGGTTGAATTTCGTGTTTTAACATGGGAATAGATGGCAAATGAATTAGTGGAGTGAGTCCACATGTTGTATGGATACCCGGTGGTAGAATTAACTTCTCTTAGTATTTATCTTTAATATCGAGTCATTATAACTAATGACAAATCCTCCAAAGAACCACGACTTAAAAAAAATAGTGACTGACAAAAATAGGATACATAGCGTGATTTATTGCTAAAAGTCATTGAAACAACATAAGAATATGGCCAACATTGTGTTCCATAGAATTTTTCTGCTGATACAGAATCCGCTAGTTAATCACGTGACTTCATTCTTAGGACTACATTCTAGCAGACGACACTTGGAATTTCGATTACAGCTGGGAATTATAAGGAAATTCAGCCGATAAAAATTGCGACGTTTGGTAATAACTCAAATACGCCATTTTATATTTGTCAAAGTATACATTAATACATTTTATTTTGCTTGAAACTATTGGATTCATTCTACTAGCTGACATTGTACAAATAACCAGGTCATAACAGGTCATGCGAGGTCGCACATGTAAATTATTAACCATTTCCGGAGATGCACGAAAATTAGGTTACTTGACTATCAATACGAACTGCAAAACGAAATCCAATGAAAATTATTTTCATACGAGGAAGTATATCAATCATAGGTGAAAAAGTATTTCATAATGAAAAGGACTGGTATCGAGTGTCTAGACGAGTTAGATACCTTACCTGACGCCACATCATTATATACATTCGGGGGAAGATCTGGAGCGATGGCCTCAGTCCTCCGAGAGATGGGTACAGAAAAATGTCGGCTCGATCTGGACAAGATTATATAAAATATATATTACCACTTTTAGGCTGATATCCCCGTCCAGTCATTTCGCTTTGTTGTACGACACCGTCCCCATTAATTCGTGGTCATAACCTCCCCAATCGGGTATGCAGCATGTTTGTCCACATGAACATAGCAAAGAGCAAATCAAGTCGCAGTCTCTCACGTGACCATTTGGACTGGAGGGTCTCGCCCACCACAGACAGAAACTATATATTTCTGAAACCTCAAAATATACTCTTTCACGTTTTCTTGACGCTTGATAAAAAATTGTTCGATCCCAGTAAAATGTATTCAGTTTTATCATCGTTTAATTTAAGGAAATTATTGTTCATTCATAAACTGATATCTTCTATACAGTATTCAATCTTGGATTTACAAAAGTTAAAACTATTATTTACCGAGGGTCTAAAAGATAAATATAACCTTTGTGTCGTCTGCGTATAAACGAAAATCGAGACCATGCCTGTGAACTATATTAGATAGTGGAATGGTGTACATTCTGAATAAAATCGGTCCCAATACTGACCAATGTGGCACACCATATTACAACATTTTGAATAGTAGGATTTATTGTTTTAGATAACAGACTGTGAACGATTCGTTAAATATGATTTCAGTAAATCTAAGGCTGAACCATTAATTTTGAAATAATTTGACAAACGGTAGAATAAAACATTGTGGTCAACAGTATCGAATGCTGCAGTAAGGTCTAGAACTAGAAGCAGGAGTATTACACACTGTTTTTGGACAATAAAATATCGTTCTGAACTTTAAGTAGTGCTGTTTCTGTGCTATATATTATCGATATATAATCGATAAGTTGAATTGAGATACATTTTCGAGAACTTTTAGAGACAAAACTAAGATTGAATACTGGCCAGTAATTCTTGTCTTGATCGGGATCAAGGAAAGATTTTTTAATTAAAGGAATAACATGGGCATGTTTATATATCTGGAAAACATCCAGTATCAATGGAATTATTAATAATAATATCACAGATTGATGGAAGTAATTCAGACAAACAGTCTTTTAGGAGCCAAGTTGTAAAGGGATCAAGTGAACAAGATTTTGTGGCCATAGAGCGGATTACAGTGGCTATTTCAGTGACAGGTACAGTTTTGAGGCAATTCAAAGAATATGTTGCATCATAACTGTCAACAATATCAACAAAATCAGTAACAATTGCAATGTTATTTCGTATTTTATCAATTTTAGTCTCGAAGAAATTAGAGAAACGGGTTGGCAGATCGCCATTATTGAATGATTGTAAAATTTTCACACCATGATTATGATCCAACAGAGTATTAACGACTTTCTTCTTTTTGAATATTTTCACCATTGTCAATTTTATCAATATAGATTTAGCACTTTCAATAAGACGAGTTACTCGGATTTTTGCATTTTTATAAATTTCTCCGTGAACCGTTAGTCCTGACTTTTCAGAGTTTTTGTCTGTATTGGAATAAGATTATCAGTATATTTTGAAGACATTCATTAAAATGAATTGACTTTAAATTGGCATCTCCGATGAGAAATATATCATCTAATTTTAAGGAGCGTATTGAAGAACGCAGCTCATCACTGTCCAGAGTTTTGAATTTACGAAATGAAACTAGTTTCCTTTCACATTGTGACTTTCGTATGTTGAGATTAAAATTAACGGGGAAGTGATCAGATAGGAGTTTGTCATTGACGTCTATATTATTAATCAAGTAATAGCTTTCTTTAGTTATTATAATATCCAGTGTATGTCCTCTATCATTTGTGGGGTTGGTCACGTGTTGGGTTAGAGAATGTGTTTGAAGAACTTCGTGAAATCGAACGGTGAATGGGTTTTTGATATCGTCCACATGACAGTTAAAATCGCCGACTATGACCGGTTCAATGCGGCAACTGGCCAATTGATTTATCAAATCAGGAAATTCAGAAAATGAGGAAATGAGAGTTACCCCACCACCACTACGAGACAATCTTGGTTTACTCTGTATGGAATACCCATTGAAGAAAGAACCACTTCATCATTGGCACCTGATGATTGAGTCAACAATCGAAGCAACGATCGTACTAGAAGACAAATATTCAATCTTCAGCGCGGTACTGAATAATTAAACCAAGTTTTGTCAATATCTGGCATAATCATGCCTTCTAGAGTTTTTACGAGCTCCAAATTGAACGAATTTTCAAGAACAAGGTTCAACCACTCATACTAAATATTTTTCGATTTTTCTGATTTTCAATAGGCTTTATCCTTGGGTGATAATAAACACTCAAGCCAAGTTTCGTTTAAATCCGTCATGAATTTTGCCTACTAGAGTGTTTACAAGCTAAAAATTGAACGCGTTTTCAAGAACAAGGGCAATAACTCATACTCAATATTTTTCGATTCTTCTGATTTTCAATAGGGTTCATCTTTGGGTGAAAACGAATAGTCACACCAAGTTTCGCCAAAATCCGTCAAGCATTGTCCCTTCTAGAGTGTTCACAAGCTAAAATTGAACGCGTTTTCAAGAACAAGGGCAATAACTCAAACTAATTATTTTTCGATTTTCCTGATTTTCAATAAGGTTTATCCATGGGTGATAACCATAGATATCCTATAAATAACTAGATGGAACGTCATAGCCAAGAGCCAATGAGAGCAGTGAAGAACCGGAAGTCAGCCATTAAGCTACCAACGTCCCGCGTTAGACCTATTGACGTCGTGTTTTTCTACAAGTTTTACTATTAAATATGCCCGGCTGTTCGGCGATAAATTGTTCAATTAGATCTGAAAGAGAGAACATCCCACAGGGAATTAAATTTCACAGGTAAAAGCTGTTTTTTTTTATGATGAAAAAACTTTTGAAAGGAAAAAAAAACCGCGATTGAAGCAAGGTCTAATAACTTGAATGTATGACTTTTTCAATAGGGGTGAAACCTTCACGGTACGACTTTTGTTCCGTATCGGTTCATTTGGGTTCACGGCACTTATGTATTATCAGCTTCTGGTGTAGAACAAAATTATACACGTGTAATCCACCGATTTTGTCAGGTTTCTACCGATTTTGAATGTCCTCAATCGACATACCGGCGGGAGATCTACCGATTCCCGTGTCCGAATTTTAACCATGAATTAATAAAAATAAATAGTAAATGAAAGTGTTTTGATTCTATCAATCACAAAATTCTACTGGATTAACTGAAAAAATACTTCCCCTCTTTTACTGCCCTGACATCATGTGCTCAATGTATTTTACTACTGCCCCAGAAATGCCATTTTAGCCAACATTACTTTTTTAAAAACCCACCTCTCCTTCATCTTTAGTAACTTACAACTTATAGAACTAATTATGCTTATTTGTATTTCAGATATCCTTTGAAAGATCCAGAAAGACTCAAGAAGTGGCTGGTAAATTTGAAGAGAGTTGATTTTGAACCAACTAAGCACACTATTTTGTGTTCCAGACATTTTGAGGAAAAATGTTTTTTGATAACTCTTGAGCGTACCTACCTTAAAGATGATGCTGTACCAACAATATTTGATTTTCCTGATCACTTAATGAAGGTGAGCATTATCAAAACCTTCACTAAATTACTAAGATACTTTACTCACCTTCTTTACTCTTAATCGGTTTCATTAATTCTAATTTCAAAACAGGACAGCTTGTACCTAAATAAGCCTCAAATTGCCTGCATATGCTTATTAAAGTGATTGTTCACCAATTACAAATCAAATCATTTTCCTGACAAAACCATCCACAATTAATCTTGGATAATACATTAAGCATCATTTCTTAAGAACATATTCTAGTTACTATGCATACATGCAGAATACTGGTAAAACTACCCATCATCACTCTCCTTTCCTCCTTACAAATATATTAATACCTACCATATTGTTTGACATTGCAGAAACAAGTAGAGAGAAAGCCACCAGCACACAGACAAGAAGAAAATCTACAAACCTGTAGTGATATTGATACCATCCCTGTTGAACATAATTATTACATAAGCGGTTCTCCCAGAAAATTAAAAAGAAAGATCAATGAAGCTGAAGATAGAATTATAATTCTTAAAAAGATACTTAAATCAAGTAACCAAACTAGAGACAGAGTAAAGAAGAAAGTGTCAAGTACAATCTGTAGTTGATGCCCTAAGAAAAGAGAAATTAATATCAGATACTTGTTCTGTTATTTTAGAGGACACATTTTCTGGAACATCACTAGAAGTTATGAAACAGATTGTTAGTGGCAAACCATCAAAAAAGTACTCGTCAGAGTTGAAATCATTTGCAATGACACTACAGTTTTATTCATCTAAAGCTTATGACTATGTTCGACAGACTTTCCAGTTATCCCTGCCTCATCCTAAACAAATCAGAAAGTGGTATTCTTCCGTCTCTGCTGACCCAATCTTCACAAAACCATCATTTGATGCCCTGAAAGTAAAGGTAGAAGAAGGTGCAGCTAAGTAATATGCGCTCTGACATTGGATGAAATGGCAATAAGGAAGCATGTAGAATGGAATGGCAAGTCATTTTCTGGTTATGTTGATATTGGGAATGGCACTTCTGATTCAGATTCATCTCCTACAGCTAAAGACGCTTTAGTCTTCATGGTTGTCTCTCTAAACGACAGATGGAAGGTACCAATAGCCTATTTCTTTATTGATGGGTTGACTGGAGAAGAAAAAGCCAATATTGTAAGAGAATCGCTGTCCAGACTTGCAGATATAGATGTCAAAATAACATCTGTTACTTGTGATGGTCCTTCATCCCATTTTACCATGTTTCGATCCTTGGGAACGAAGATAGAAAGTTTTTCAATAGACACACATTTTCCCCACCCTACATTTCATGAACAGCAAGTGTATGTGATGTTTGATATTTGTCATATGCTTAAATTGGTAAGAAACACTTTGGCTGATGGTGGCATCATAGTAAATAGCAAGGGAGAGAAAATAGAATGGCGTTTTATAGAAGAGCTTCATAAACTTCAGGAAAATGAAGGTTTGCGATTGGCCAATAAAATTAAAAAAGCCCACATTACAAATTGGAAGCAGCAGAAAATGAAGGTCAACCTTGCAGATGCAATCCAATATTGCCATGAAGTGCTAAAACTTACACAGTTTCAAAATTCTGAAGGTACAATCGAATTTATTCGCATAATTGACAGACTCTTTGACTTACTTAATTCGAGAACACCATACCAAAAAGGTTTTAAATCGCCCTTGAGAGTTAGTAATATAGACTTTTGGCAACCATTTTTGAATGAAGCATTCACCTATATTTACAACTTAACAGATACTAATAAAAACAAGATGATCCATTCAAGAAGGAAAACTGGTTTCATTGGTTTTTTAGTTGGAATTAAAAGCATCCAAGGTGTAGTAAATGATCTTTTGATGGGCCCAACTCCTGAACTGAATTATATATTAACCTACAAGCTAAGCCAGGATCATATTGAATTGTTTTTTGGTGCCATAAGAGCTGCAGGTGGATTTAATAACGATCCAACTACCATACAATTTACAGCAGCATATAAAAGACTTCTATTTAGAGGAACGCAAATGATTGGAGGAAAAGGAAATTGTGTTAACGCTTCATCTACAAATATTTTATCATCAATTTCCGACATGTACAGTAATAATGGTATCACCCACACAATATCAGACATTGCCTTCCTAAAAAAATACGGATTGAACGCTGATGATCCAGCTCTTCCAGATGAAATTCAACCAAACTTATTCACATGTTCTGAATATAAGGAGGCTTCCATTTCGTATATTGCTGGCTATGTTGTCAAAATGGTTCACAGGGAAATTAAATGTGTTGATTGTTCTTTAGCACTTGAAGATGCACGTACAAATAGTGAAATTCCAGTAAACAGCTTTGTTAAATTTAAAGATAGGGGTGGATTATGTATTCCTTCATCCAGTGTTTTAAAAGTATGTTATGCTACAGAAAAAATGTTTGTCTTCAATACTTTCTTCTAATAATTTACCACAAGGACAATTTTTAAGTGCTGTATCAACATTTGTTCTAGTTAACCTTAATATAAAATTAATCTTTACTTGTTTGGATGAACATAATTTGCAATATTCTTTTGAAGAAAATCACATTTTAAGATTAATAAAATGCATTTGTTATAAATATTCTAAAATAAAATTGCATCATGCTGCAAAAACCCTTAATGAAAAAAACAGTGAACCCAAAATAAGGAAGAAATTATCAAAACTCATATTATTTAAGCATGAATAGATTAATGAGATTTGGTTTTGTATCATTGAAACAATTTTATTATTCCCTATTTTTTCTGTTTGATTTTTAATGACTTTAATTCTACCTAACAGGAAATTGTCCGAAATAAACTTTATTCTACTTTGGAGTGTGATTTTAGTTACATTCAGTAGCCTATTCAGTAATGTCAGAAAGTGGAACGATCGTATCTATCTTGATTTTTTTTTTACTAAAATTTCTGAACGTTGATCATTCAATGTATCTTATTCCATATTTAATTTTTTTTTTTTTTGAAATGTGAAATAAATTCGCATAAAAGTGTGTTTTTCTTGTATTATTATCAAAATTATTGCACTTCCCTATTGACGTTTTGTTATGGCTTGGTAGCTTAATGGCTGACTTCCGGTTCTTCACTGCACCGACGCAAGCTTCTCTCCAGTCTATATATAGCTCAGTGGTGATAACCAACACTCATGCCAATCATTATTATTGATTTTGAAATCATTACTAATTGCTCATTCAATAACCCGAGATATTTGTACTTTATCTAATTTTACTAAAAACAAGAGTTAAAACATATTAGTGGCATATTACAGCAGGAATTTAACTTACTTGTGCCATTAATGTAAGAACATTCATCAACTTGACCGAGTTCTCATCAATATATACATGCACACCAAGTTTCATCAGATAAAAACTGTAGCCTCTATCGTGCATACAACAAATGTGGATGGACAGACGGACATGGAAATGTGGACGTATAAAAACTTTTTGTAGATTTTTTGTTCAAGGCATGAGTTTTTTCTTCCATTATTCCAAAACCAATCAGACCTGCGTAGTAGGTGGCATATTTAATGTACCGTAATTTGATACGAACCGGAAGTTGGAGTTTCCGGATTATTTTGTGCATTATGGCATTTCATCAATCGAGTGTGGATTCGACCAATGAGAGTTGATTTTAGCATTGCACGGGATTTTCATGAGCAAACACTATAAAAAGCTCGATCGTACCTTATAACAGGCAGTTGGTCGGTAGACGGCTTAGGGTAAGCATGTTCGTTCTGTGGGAGTTATAACACTCCGCTCATAGAGTTGGCTCTTACCTTAGTCAGACGATCTGGCTGTTTGATTTTGGGGTTGTGGTTGCCTTGGGTCGGTTTGGTTTCCAGTCAAATCTGAATCGGGAACATAACGTTCCGCTCGTTCAGATGGACTGATCTAAAACGGAGACTATGGTCTTGAATCGGGGGTTTTGAATGTTTGTGTAAATGTATTGTTTGAAATTCGTTCTGTGATGTCTTGTCTTGAGTTAATAAATGTGTTTTTGTTTAATTATTTATTACTTCCCTTAGAGATCACAGTATCCAGAAAGAACCTGGAACTCTTGGTGTAATGAGACACGACAGGATTGATATTTGGGTTGGGTTTTTTTTTGGTCTGAAATAACTACCCTAGATTACCTCCTGCTACACCTGTTAATTATATTGAAGACTTCCTGATATATTATGTTCAATTAAAATACAGATGTGACGTCACCCTTTGATCTTGGCGCACCATTATCCAACACAATGGTACTGGCAAATCGCCACGAGTCCAATATTGACATTAATAATGGACTGTAAATATTGGACTCTTGGTCCTTTGCCAATATGACTAGGCTTTCAAATGTCGGATTAATCTGACAGATGCTCATATTAAACACATTATTTACAGAAATACATCCTGATTTGCATCAAAACTTTAGAGTTATCTTAACATCCTTACTTTAACAGAATGTTCTTGTAATCCGACATTTATCGGTAAACACATATTTGGCGCCTTATTTTGTAAAATATCACTAACATCTTTTATCTGTGTTTCTGAGGTTCTTTTGTATGATCTGATAACATCAGATGAATGGCCGATGGTTTCTGAGATGAGTTGTTCATCAATTCCTGCGTTGTGAAGCCGCGTTTAATCCAGCGCGGTGTTTCTGTAGCGTGTGAACACCTATTGGTGTACTGTTATACCAGGTTTGTGAAGTGGGTAATTTGGTTGTCTGAAGATAAAAAATTAGTTTTCGTCATTTGGGGCCTGAAAGTAGACAAAAAAATATGTGTAATTGTAAACAACTATATATCTTTAACCAAAATTTACTTGCGACACATTTTGGACCCTCGATACTTTATTTTATTTTTACTTACTTTGTACAATAATCAGCTGTGATCTAACCTTAATTAAATTTTAAAATCTTTTCACAATGCACTTACCTTAATTGGATGGACTTTTCAACTTTAACAATGCATCTTATCTTATCCAAGTTATCATAATTAAGCTCTCACTGTTTTCTTCTGACGTTTTCGGTGCTTACGACCATCTTGGTTTGTCTTGTATTGTAAATATGGTAATCTAGATTCGTTAGTGTGTAAAGTTAGCTGAGAATGTTTGCCAAAACGGAGGCTACGGTGTTCTTTACCCGCCCTTAAGGCAAAATTCAACCTAGTGAGATAAAATACTGTGTCCAACAGCTGCTTGGGGTTTTCAGAACCCAATATAATTTTTCCAGAGGGTTTCTTCATACGCCTCGGTAATTACATCTGCCCTCTTTTTCTCTAGACCAATACCTGTGTAAGATGCACATTTGATATTGCTTTCGTTTTCTATGTAATTTGTAATTTTTGATTCCCAAATTTGTGGAAATTTAGTCATAAGTTTTGTTTACTGTTTAGTTATGACTGTCAATATTTTTATTACTAATTTAAGGCTGGATAATGTTTATTTTCTCATACTCCATCTTGAAACCATGTATTGATTATATTATCCAAGAATTTGTACCTGGAAGGCATATAATACGGTTAGCATAAGTAAATTCTATCTCAAAATCACTATATATGTTTTAAAGCATTTAGTCCAATAGTTCATCAATGCTGTCACTGTCATAATTATAACTTATAAGCTATTTTATGTGCAGTCTGTTGAGTTTATAATATGTACTGTTAAAGGCCCGCTCACACTGTTTTAGGGTGTAATGTCAGTTATATTGTTATTTAGTTCTGAAAGTATCTGTGACATAATTTGCTGTAGTTTCTATATGTTGTGCACTTATAGGGTGTGATCTAAGTTGTCTTTAGCTCTACAGTGCATTTAGTTCAAGGCCCTCTCACATATCCGCAAACTTATATTTATTATTTTCATTCTGTCTCTTTCAGTCAATCATAAAGTTCACATCAGTTCACAATATTAGAAGTATTTATTGTAAGATTCATAAGCATACCACATTATGTAATGGTTGAAACGTAAATAATTAAACATGATTACAGATGGAATATAAACTATTTTTTACATTATTGTTATATAGGGGAATGAGCCTTCAACCTGACTGTTTCATTTTTGCGTCCAGCACATTCCTCATACCCTGGAAGGTGATATTGGATTGCCACAATAAGTTTGGCCTCTATACTCTTCGTCATCTTGTTTTCTTATTTCGACGATGAAATGACGAAGGGCGTTATTTAGAGTCTCATTCGACATTTTCAACACATCTGAATCGAACGATTCACCATCTGGTTCTAACAACATATTGCGACGATAATTATGCCAATTAACAAAAGCTTCCATTGCCCATTTACTTTTCGCCACAGTACTTGCTGGTAATCGTGTGCTCTCAAACGCTTTCAAGTCACTTTCAGTTACAGTTTGACCGAATTTCCTCTCAGTATTGCCTAAATTTGTTAATTTTGATCTTTTGTTGGAATCACTCCCCCAATCACTAGTATCAGAATAGTGAAAACAAATATTCTCTTTTACCTCCTGTGAAGCCCTAACCAGTTCTTCATCACTCTAAGTCATGAATCATGTGGGCAGCAGAATGGTATTGTTATATGTGGGTTGGGGTGGCTTTTACCAGCATACACGCAGTATGCAATGTTTTTTATGGCTTAGTCAATAACGTAGTTAAGTAGGTCACCATGTTATGACCGTAATAAGTGTCGTCGGTAAGGACAGAAGAGCGGTTCAAACACCATCAATATTTAACGTTCATTAACAAAATTGTGCTTTTTATTAACCTCCATATTTAATTATTTAATCACATCAAGGATTTACGAGAATTAGCAGTACTTTTATAACAATAGTGTTTTGAATCAAGCTATCTAGGACCGTTCTCACATCACCGTCATTCATGACGCGTCGTTATGAGGAAATGTAGTATGTTTACAAGGCAAGAGTAGTAATACTGTTTGAGTCGCAGCTCACGTAGGACATTTTTAATATAGTTTAAATTGATCATTACTGTTAAATTTTCATTACAGTTCCTATTTGGATTTAGCTTAGCGCATATGTTTGTACTAAATGAGAACTATTTCGGTAGATTACTACGTCGGGGCACTAGGTCATTAGATCAAAGATTGTTACGCCTAGGTCGTTGTTTCTTTGTTTACAAATTATAATTATAAGAAAATGTTTTCATTGCAAATTGATATGAAAGTTATTAGTATTCTGTATGAACGGATAAAAACCGGACAGGGCAATATTTCAATTTCAATATAAGAATTCTTGTAAAAATACGGAACTCTTTTATGACATCGACTGCTTACTTTCGCATTGAGCACTACTTCGAATCAAAATGCCTTGTCCGTTTTCTGGAATCTTTAATTTATGTTAATTTTATTGTTGCAATTTCTTAATAACCTTAAAATATTAGACCGGACACGACCCGGGCAAGCTAGCCCTCTTTCCTTATAGTCGCGCTCACGTCTTGACCACGGAAGCACGGGTCTCGCTTTTGCTGTATATGGAGGCTCGCAAAACGAAAATGGCAGATAACGCCATCTCTTGACACTGACAGTTCTTTGACGACTATGGAAATCAGCATCATCATGATCACTTTCCGTTCTACTTACCTACTGATATTTAGTAAGCCACATGGATAAGGTTGGAATATTAACTACTTAAGAGAAAGGTTTATCTCTTAATAGTCTTAAATGTTCCGTCGGTACTGGCCGCGGATCCAAGGCCTGGGAAAAATTAAATCGCCATTTTGGTATTTTCTTGTTTAGAAAATTTGTTCACAAACCATGTAGGCTAAGTCGTTAGATGCTGTCGCGCGCGTTATCTCCACCACACTTCGGACCGGATTGATAACGGGAATTCACCACAATTTTATTTTCGGATTTACACACAATAACGAAACTTCGGAAAGAAGCTAGCTTGGGTTGATGAAACGTAGGCTAATCGAATTAATTAGTGCGACGATTTCGTGTTGTTAGTTGACGCTGTATTGTATGGAATAACTGCTGTTCTATATCGCTGTGATAACATATAAGATATAGATTAAATTAAATATTATTTTTGAAGAAATCTTCTCGTTGTTCTTATGGCTTAATCTTCAGCTTTGGGTGCATGTACGGCACGCCATGCTAGTCATAAGAAGAGAGGATCTGGTTATGCTTTGGAGAGATCTACATATGTCCTTTCCCAACTAAAAGTTCCTCAGTCTTAGGAAGGAAAGAGGCAAACGTATCCCCTCGAATTAAGGAGATCAAGGACTCGGTAGTGTAGTCAGGGTGTGGGGACCCTTTCCTCATTTGTCAGGACTAGGCCTAGACCTTAGAGAGTTAAACTAGGAGAGTAAGGAGCAGCAGGGGTTAGTGGGAAGTTCATCCTCGGGCAAGTCAATATCTATACGCTCAATTGGGATTAGGGTGAGATCGTCTATTGAATGGTCGTCGAGGTTGAAATGATTAGAAACAGGCTTGTGTTTCTTTAATTTGAAAGACCTATGAGCATTAAAACGGGTTCGTAAATTATTCTTAGTTTCTCCTACATATTGTTTGGGGCATTTCCTGCATGAAAATAAATATATTACATTCGAATGTTCACATGTTAGATGTTCCTGGATCGGGTACCTTTTATTCGTAGAGTTGCTTACAAAATAATGAGTTTCTGATATAAAGGGACATGATTTGCATCTACTGGACAAACATGGTGCACTTCTTGAACCTGGAGGTACTTCGTCATAAAGACTGTTTTTAGCTGCTATCTGTGCTAAGGTGGAATTTTTTATGTTTCGTAAAAATCGTTTAGAGTACCCACGCTCTTTCAGTTTTGAGGAAACAATCGTACAGGCTTGGTTGAAATCAGAAGATCTTGTGCAAATTCGATGAAATCGTAAAACTTGTGACTTTATTATACCAGAAAAGGTATGTTTTGGGTGAAAGAAGTTTATTTGTCTCTGCTATGGAATCTCCCTTAAAGACAGTGGTATCAAGAAAGTCTATGCTTTTGTCACTCACTTTTGCGGTAAGTTTGATAGAAGGGTGGTGGTTGTTGAGAATTTCAAAGAATTCCCAAAATTGTTCGATAGAAGAAGTCCAAACCATAAAAATGTCATCCAAAAAGCGTCCGTAAAAAAGTGGGTCAAATGGACAGAGGAGCAACACCTCACGTTCCCACTCTGCCATGAAAAGGTTTGCGTACGAAGGAGCGAATCGTTTGCCCATAGCTGTCCCTGACGTTTGTAAATATCGTTGGACTAAAGCAATTTTACAAGAGACGCTTAAAACTGTCTCATTCAAAGACATTTCAACAGAATGATGTTGTTAAATTTTGGTCAATTAGAATGTTAGGGACTATTAGGAATAAGTAACTAATAGTATTTCAGCAACTTTTGATTACAATTTCACGAAAAATGACTTAGGCAATTTGTCTTAAAAATTCAGTATGTTTTTCTCTCTGGCAATACTGTGTTTGTTTCTTGAAAACCTATTTAACTCTCTATTAAAAAGAAAGGATTTTTTTTAGCTCGAATTAATGAAAACTATAGAACAAAATCTGAAGAAATATGTCCCTTACATTATCTCAAAGTTTTCATTAAATATTTTGCGGTTCATTTTTGAACCCCAACACTATTTATAATGATTACATGTTTAACAATGAATACTTGATGTGTTTGGCATATGTGCTCAAAGTTAAGCGCTGACATCAATGACTGGCTCTCCACCAACAAGTATTGAACAAAGGGAAATGATACCATGTTGCTGTAATTGCCCGAGAAAATAATAGAATAAGTCTGCATTTAAAAAAACAAACCATTTATTTCATAAAACAATATAATTAACTACGTGTACAATCTGATGTCCGTAAAATTAAAATTTATGGCTTAATGAGTTCATTATTAATATAAACAATTTATGGTAATATAACGAATGATAACAAATAATATTATTTTAACAAAGAAATCAACCATTATCTTAATACTTAATCGTTCATTACTTCATCGTTCGGCAAGTTGTCATAAAATGTGTGGATTTCAGATGGAATAACAATCTTTAACGCTTGAAGATGATCAAATTTGCGTTTGGTTATTGGCAGCTTTGAGTTAAAAAGAGGGGTCAGTTTACAAAATATGGTCGTGGATTTTGTCTTTCACATTGTATGGAATTTCGGTTATGATACCCACACCCATCAGACCAAATTATAAGTGTTTTGACATTGGAGTTAGCGTGTAAAAAAATTAGGAAGTGTGTATACTGGATCCATGCAAATACATCACTGGATAAATTTCCAATTACATCATCATGATTCATCATGATTTTGCATGTTCTATAATGTAGAATTGGGTGTTTTCAACTTTGTTCTGTAGTACATGCAGCTAGCTTGTGATCGAGGACATAAAAGAACAGCTTGTAGATCCATGGACCAAACCGAAACTGAGTTTTCACGAAATGAATCAACAATATCATTTGCCTTTTCAGATCTTGCTGCATCCTTCATAAGAATATGATGAGTCTATATATCCTGTTCTGTATTCCCATGCTTGTAACCAACACACATATCACATTGATCTTTTCTAGGCACAAAAACAGAAAAGCGGCGTTCATTAAAAATGCGATGAAAGATTGGGTAACTCAATGGGCAGCTATCAGCAATTCCGGCTTGTTTTCTATACTCATCATAAATACCATTAAATGTCGTTCCTGGCTCAAGAAACTTCTTATCTGAACACGCAGCTCTACAATAATGAGACTCAACAGTTGATAAACTCGACAGAAAGTTGTTCAGGAAATCTAAATCGTCAGGCTTTGATTTATTGGAAGCATAACGAGTTGGTTTTTGCACATTTGCAATTCCTTCTTCTGTAATAATTTCTAATTTATCATTTTCTGGTTTGGAATCCTGCACCCAATCTAGCAGAGTTCTTTGTAATCCAAGAGTAGAGACAAACATTGATTTGCAGACTTGATACGATTTGCTTCTATGTATTAGATTGTAAGTCCATGAATATTTTCTCCTTGAGTTGCTGCAAGCCTTTTTTTGCTTTATATCAACTATCTTGATCAATGTAGAGACCCATGCCCGTCTTTGATCCCAACTTTGTAACTCAATCCAAAATTTGGTGAAAATGTCTTTCCTCATTTGTTCACTTATTGCTGCACAATTCCTATTTTTAGATTTAATTCAAAAACCTGAATTAATCTTTTACCCAATTTTCTCTCACCCTTTTTCACTCCTTTATTATTTGTATATTCCAACCCTTTACATCTTTTAATTCTGTTTTTATTTCTCTTCCAGTTATCTTTTTTCATTTCCTCATGCTTCCGTTTTCTTATTCTTTTTTCTCCTTCCCTTTCGTCCTTAAGTTCATCTGTCATGTTGTTCACGTCTTCTAAGTTCCGTACTTCTGCTGCATTTTCTCTTCTTCTAAGTTCAGTACTTCTGCTGCATTTTCTCTTCTGTTCACTTCTTCTAAGTTCAGTAGTTCTGTTACATTTTCTCTTCCGTTCACTTCTTCTAAGTTCAGCAGTTCTGCTACATTTTCTCTATCGTTCTCTTCTTCTAAGTTCAGTAGTTCTGTTACATTTTCTCTTCCGTTCACTTCTTCTAAGTCTAAGTTCAGTAGTTCTGTTACATTTTCTCTATCGTTCTCTTCTTCTAAGTTCAGTAGTTCCCTTACATTTTCTCTTCCATTCTCTTCATTTAAGTTCAATAGTTCTCTTACATTTTCTCTTCCGTTCACTTCTTCTAGTTCAGTAGTTCACTTACATTTTCTGTTTTTTTCTTGTTTCTTCCATAGGGTTGTCTGTATCCGCAAACTATAATACGAATCTCATGATTGTCCTAACGCGTGCACAACGATGTGGCCAAGGATTTAACGTAGTAAACTGCAAAAGACTTTGAGAAACCTGGCCTGCAATTGTTATACCACAGGACATCTCAAGAGGGACTGTCCGAAAGGAAATTTTACTGGAAATGGTCCACAAAATAATGGAAATAGAAGATCGGGAAAAGGGAGACCATCGGTTCAGTAGGGCCTGAGTCGATGGGTGGATATACGCCCGAAAGGCATCTTGTCTCGTCTAGATCAGGTAACATAGGAGAAACCGATGATACTTGGGACAATGGATTTTATGAAAATGGCATATTTATTTCTAAATAAAGTGTCTGCTCCATCCTAGGCCTGTACATTTGGAAGAATCAAACCTCCCTTCCCCGAAATCCTATACATATACCAGTAACTATAATTGGGAGTGATATTCTAATGGAAAGTGGATATCCAGAAGGCACTAAAGACAACGTTTACGTAGTACCCGGAATTGTTAACACACAGGGGAAATCATCAAATTAATGTCCTCCATGACAGATTGTCCTACAACCCAAGCAGCAAATAGCAAAATGCGAGTCCTACCAGAACATTGCAAGTAGAGTCAGATCTATAAATCAAAATTCTTCGGTGGATAGTACCTCAATCAATGGTGAGTGCATAATTCCTGATTATTTATCAGAATTGTTGACAAGAAGTTGTAAATACCTTGACACAGAACAGGAAAGTAAACTTAAGGGACTATTGGTTAAATATCAACACGCTTTCTCGAAAAACTCCGAGTATCTTGGCAGAACAGATAGAATTGTCCATAGAATTAACACAGGAACCGCCTTTCCAATAAGACAGGCCCCAAGACGATTACCAATACCAAAAAAAAAGGGAGATAGAAAAGAAAGAGGTGGAGGATATGCTGAGAAGAGGTATAATTGAACCAGCTAATGGTCCTTGGGCATCAAATGTTGTCCTGCTTATCCGCAAGGATGGTAAGATTCGCTTTTATGTCGACTACAGACCACTCAATGATGTAACCAAGAAAGACGCATATTCACTGCCCAGAGTTTATTCTTGCTTGGATGCTTTTTCGGGATCTTGCTGGTTCGGAACTATGGACTTAAATGCTGGATTTTGGCAATATGGAATGGCACCAGAAGATAAACAAAAGACAGCTTTCATGAAGAGTATGGGTTTATTTCAATTTACAGTCATTCCAGTTGGACTTGCAAATAGTCCGTCGACTTTCGAGCGTCTAATGGAGGATGTATTAAGAGGTCTGCAGTCGGAAGAATGCTTACTTTATATGGATGATATAATTTCCCATGCACGAAATTTCAAGAACGGGTTACAGAGACTAGAGAATACTTTCGAAAGATTGATTGACGAAAATCTCAAGCTAAAACCTTCAAAGTGTGTCTTCTTCCAAAAGGAAGTTAAATTTCTTGGTCATATAGTATCTGAAAAGGGAATAGCCACTGATCCAGAGAAAACCGAAGCAATAAATAAATGGTCCTAACCCAAAGTCAGCTAAATATGTGCGGAGTTTTATAGGACTGTGCTCATATTATCGACGTCATGTCTTTGGATTTGCAGATATTGCCAGACCTCTACATAAACTATGAGAGAAAGGAACGAAATTCTCGTGGAGTGACGATTGCCAAATGTCTTTTGAGAAACTTAAAAACGCCTTTACGTAAGCACCAATCTTTGCTTATCCAAACCCAGGATCAAACATCATTTTGGACACAGACGCTAGTGACAAGGCAGTTGGTGCCGTCCTATCTCAAGTCTAGGATCAAAAGAAGCGAGTCATAGCCTACATGAGCAAAGCGACGAATGTGCACGAGCAACAATATTGTGTCAATAGAAAAAAATTATTGGCTGTCGTTACCGCTGTAAAAACCTTCCACCCATACCTGTACGGTCAGCATGTAATACTACGCACGGATAATGCAGCAGTTAGTTGGATGCGGAATTTAAAAAGACCAACATGATAGACAGCTAGATGACTGCAGGAACTTGGAACTTATGATTTAGAGGTCACACATAGGATTGGAGTAAAACACCGAAATGCAGATGCATTATCACGCCGCCCGTGTAAATCTTGTACCAGACAAGAACTTAATAATAATTCTCTAAATTACTGAAATTGTCCGGGTAACCACAAGGAGTCAACATACTATACCATGCCATGCCGAAGTAAATTTAGATAGATGGAGTTTAGAAGACTTGAAAATAGCACAGAAGAATGATCCAATAATCTCTTTTGTTATGCAGAGCAAGAAAACCAATGACCAGAGACCTCTCTGGAAGTCTGTATCAAAAGAGTCGAGTTCAGTTAAAACTCTCTGGCGACAATGGGATAGGCTGCAACTTCACGATGGCATATAATACTGCGAAAATTATCAAGATAACATACGCGAATTTCAATTTCAATTTCTAATTCTTTTATTGCAGTGGATATTAAATTTTCCAAAAGCATTGAAGTTCAAACACGCTTAGCGTGGTTTGCTCAGCGTGAAAATCGTCTGACAGCATCAACTTTTGAAACTTTTAGGAATAAAACAGATCCTTTAAAACACAAATTTTGTATCACTTAGTGTTCAACATGGGTTTAGGAATGAGGACTTGGCTTTTGCCAAATATTCAGAGCAGGTATCTCACCCTACATTTAAATCGTGTTCTTTTGATTTATTAATCAATCCATCTTTGCCTTTTTATGTGCCTCCCCAGACCGTTTGGTCTCCATTGACAATGTTTTAAGGTTAGTGGAAATAAAATGTCCATATAGTCCATAAATTCTAAACAAAAGACGATTCGTCAGCAGGACGAATTTATTTAGAATTTTCAAATGACACTAACACAATAAAGAGAACACATGATTGTTTTTATGAAATATATTTACAGCTTAATATTTCTGTCATTGCTTCTTGTGATTTTGCTGTTCCTGATGATATTGTTATTGTAAATGTAAAAGACACAGTTTTTTTTTTAAACAGAAATGTAACCTTAATATTCCGAGGTTTGGTTTAATAATTTGTTGCCATCTTTCACAGATATATCGTAGAGCAAGTAACAATTTTTTACACAAGATTTACTTTTCACGTTGTCACATTTATGATACGGTTGAGAGATACAAAGCATTAAAGGTATTGTAAAGAGGTTTTCTAAACTTTAATGTGTATAGGGGACACTGATAGCATCAATTTACAACATCCCAATATCCATTGTAGCAGCTACTGTTAGGGAATTGTCCAACTGACTACTAGTGAATCGGTTTTGACCGTGTAAAAAAATCAGGAATGTACAAAGAAACTCCACGAGCTGTTAAATCATCCTGAATGTCCAAACCTCTATCGACCATAAGAAAATCACTACCTGATAGTAAATGTAAAAAAAAAAGGTTTCTCTTTGACACAATGATGCAGAAGGTTGCTCAATAAAAAATTCAGTACAATCTACAATAGCTCTTGTTTGGGGACAATTTTGACGAAAAAGGGATTGGAGTTTTGATTTAACATGCTCTTTTGATGGACTTATTGATAGAAATATTAAGCGGTCATACAAAAATAAAATCCAAATTGTAAGTATTTTCGATACATAACTTCTCAGACAAGCCTCAACGTAAACGCACTAATGTAATGAACAATTCTTCAAGTGGAGAAAGAGTTCTTGATGGTCGTCTTCTCTTATTAATTAAGTTATATGGTATACCATGAGATGTATTACTAGGTCCTGTGTAATGTAAAAAGTTACAGTGAGGAAGTAATAACTGATAGAATGAATACATAGTTTTCCATGCGCGAGTTTCCCCGTGATGCATTGCGCGCGACGCCATCATGTAGGTCAAATCGTCAAGGTAAAACAATGATATTTATTCAGTCTATATTTTTGTCGCTTTGTTAGAAGCAATGTTTAACACATGTGTTGTTTGGGGGTGTACTAACCGATACAAGCCTGTGGATGGCGGGTTGAAGTTTGTTGACATTCCTGAGGTCATTAAAACCAAGGACAACAGACTGAAGAGCTGTCAACCGAACGACGGAGACTGTGTCTGGTTCGCATCAACCAGGGCGAGCTTTGACCCCGATCCAACAAAAAGACACTATAAAGCTCGTTGACAAAATTTCAAAAACTTGTCCTTGTCTTGTGGAAGTTGAGACTGAATGCTGGTGTGCAAGATTTATTAAGTAAAACGTGGTCCAATGTATTTTGATACACCCTGTATGTAAATTAAACCAAGTTTCTTCAAAATCGGATAAAAACTGAAGTCTCTATCGCGTTCACAAGCAATTGTGGACAGACAGTGCATCAATAAACATCAACATTAAATTGTATTTAATTTATTTTGTTGTTCAAGTATTATGCATGCAGAGGAACAAATTCGTATTGCAAGAGTCAGGTTTTAGCTTCAATTGAGAATTTTTTCGACTTATTCGGCTGTTAAATTACATAATTTTGTGAAACAATCCTTTTAACCTTGAGATCAGTATAAACCGTTTCGCCCTCTCAGGGCTCATCAGGTTGCCTAGCTGACAACGACGGTTTTTTTTTTAATTTTTCTTTTATATTGTTATCTTGGTGAATGTGTAAATTGAACAAAGCCTGTACCCGTGCCTAAAGCACTATTTGTGCAGAAACACAATGTCATAGGTACACCCTATATACAATTACAATTCAGGTGGGTTTTTTTTTATTTTGTTATCATGGGGAATGTGTAAATTAAATAAAACATGTACCCGTGCATAAAGCACTATTTGTGCAGAAACACAAACATAGGTACACCCTATATAAAATAACAATTCAGGTGGTCAGTCACTTGTTTATTTTCTACTTGCATGCTTTGCAGAACCATTGACCTTACGGTATTTGTTTTATTCCTGCACACTTGAAGTGAACATATGGACAGCTTTCGTTATCACAACCAATCACATCGTCAGTATCTTGGTTGTCTTGTTGTGGAAATCAAATGTCCCTTCTGTCAAAGGAATGATGAGATAACCAGTTCTGTTGACTGCCTGATCACTGGTGTCGATGGGAAATTACAGCTTGATTACAACCATGCCTACTTTTACCAAGTACAATGTCAACTTTTATTAGCTTTTATGAAACTCTTGCTATTTTTAAATGAATTAATTAAACGAAGAAATTGTGATCTGTTTTTTTTTTTCCAAAACAAGAGTTATCTCCCTTCTAAAAGTTTCTAGACCAAAAATAACATTATTTAAAACGAGGCTATTAAAAAACCGGATGTTAAGCGAAACAAGGAAGTTATTTTATATAAGGGTATTTTTAATATGCTTTTTTTCGTTTAATTTAAATGAAATGTAGGGTGAATAAGTTCTTTTTGGGGGTAAGTGTTGATGGAATGTGGGGTGTGTAGGCGAGTATGAGGTAAAAAGAGATGGTGAGTGATGGGTGGGAGATTAATTTTGGTAAAATGGTTTTTGGTAAATCCGTATATCTAACCGCCATATATATAATCACATAATTATACTACTACCAATTACTTCTAACCACCTAGCTACTTGTCCAGTTGGCATCTTCAGATTTTTGATCAAGCTTACAGCAGCATTATCGGTTCGAATTTGAACTTCTTGACCAGACAAGGATGAGTGGAAATTTTTCAATGCAACAACTACAGCCAATAGCTTCTTTCTCGCTACACAATAGGATTGTTCATGTATGTTCAATGACCTGCTCATGTAGGTTATAACACTTTCTTTTCCGCTTTTTTCTTGAGAGAGTACTGCTTCTAAGGCATAGTGACTAGCATCTGTATCTAGAATGAATTTTAGTCCTGGTCGCACAATTACGATCATTTATCTTAGATAATCTCCTAATGCGGCTTTTGACTCCTGAGATTGTCTCTTCCGTGATTCTAGTGTCGATAATCATCTGGTTAGCTGTCGATTGCTTCCAAATCTTTGCCCCAGTTATTCCACTAGAGATACGTACTTACCCCTTTATTCCGTAGACAAATTTATGTTAAAAACTTCGTGCTGAACCTGTTAATCTCACTGCCGGCTGAATTTTCCAAAAAAAAAAATGTTCTACTTGAGATCTTTATTTATTGCATGCTTTGGACGGGTTTTGCTTCTATATAATTGTAAAACCTCACCAATTGCATGATGATGCTCTTGTAAGTGTGATCCATGAAGAAAACAAGCCAACACAGGCTGTGCTTTTCAGACCAGGACTTGTTTTTGACAGTTTAAATATGATTTCGGGGTTTGAATATTGCCACAAAGTATTGACAAATGAAGGCAATGTAGTGGGGACGTAACTGATACTATTTTAAAATATTAGTTTAATTTTTATCATGAATTTCTCAATGTTATAGACTATCAAAACAAGATGAATCAAAGAGACGATCAATGAGATAAATTCAGGCAAAACAAAATCATATAGTGACACAAATTGTTTCTTGTTTCTCTCAAATCACTAGTACTGCTACATAATACCCTCTTCTTCCAATCGTAGCAAGTGGATAAAACCCCAGGAAAGTTTCAACAATACGCTCATCGTGGAAGGAAAATTAACACTTGAAAAGAAAACTGCCTGTTCGAGATAAAGTGATTGGGACCCAAAAGATATTTGAGCTGAAATACAAAAAGTGAAAATGGATGTGGCAAATACTGAAAAAAGTATTTTCAAAATTGATAATACAGGTGAGAAGCAACAGGAATAGTAAAATATAGTATATAAAATTACGATTAAGGACAAATTTATTACAAGCTATCCTTCGAATTAAAAGAATAGAAATCCAGTTAACTGGAAGCATCAATCAAATGACAATGCTTCAAAACGCAATGACAAGAAGTCAAAATCTAGAACTTCACATCAAATCAATATTTACAAAATTTAGTGCAAGACAATAGTGAGTTCTATTTTTTTCACCGGAAAAAAAAACAAGCGACTACATACGTGACAGACCGTGATTGCCGTCTGGCAAGGATTTTAGTCAAAAAAGCCATCAGATTAATTTCATGGCAGACAATGAAATTGTTCTACAGCCCAAGCAGCAAATAGCGAAATTCGAGTCCTACCAACAAAACATTGAAAATAAAGTTAGACGTCTAGACCAAAATTCCTCTGGGGCATCAGGCACAAGCGGCGGGGAAGATATTGTTCCTGAACATTTATCAGAGTTGTTGACAAGAAGTAGACATTGAACAGAAAAGGGAACTAAAGAGGTTGCTAGTTAGACATCAACACGCTTTCTCGAAATACTTAAACGACCTTGGTAGAACAGGTACAATTGTCCATAGAATTTACACCGGAACCGCCTTTCCAATATGATAAGCTCTCAGAAGATTACTAAAAGGAAAGAGGGAGATAGAAAAGAAGGAGGTGGAGGATATGCTAAGAAACGGAATAATTGAACCAGCTAATGGATCTTGGGCATAAAAAATTGTCTAGCTTGTCCGTAAGGATGGCAAGATTCGTTTTTGTGTGGACTACAAACTCCTCAATGATGATATAAGGAAGGGCGACTAGAGTCGATTCTTACTTGGAGGCTGGATTTTTGTGGAATGGCCCTAGAAGATAAACAAAAGACAGCATTCATGAAGAGTATGGGTTAATTCCAAATCAGAGTTATGATGAATGTCAAACCCCTTTTGATGTACTGAAAAGTGCCTTAACATCAGCACCAACCTTGGCCTATCCAAACCCGACACTGATACTAGTGACAAGGCAGTGAGCGCCTTTGTATCTCAAGTCCAGGATTCTAGGGAGAGAGTAATAGCCAACATGAGTAAAGCGATGAAAGTGCACGAGCAACAATATTGTGTCACCAGAAAGGAATTGGCTGTCGTTGCCACCGTTAAAACTTTCCGCCCATACCTTAACGGTCGACACGTAATACTACTTACATATGAACAGAGACATGATGTTGTATTATAAACTGTTGTGGCAGAACATAGATGGTAAAATATATCAATCACTGAAAAACATTTTTAGACAAACCACAGTCTGTGTTAGTATTAATCATAAATTCACTGAATGGTTTGAATGTAAGTCAAGGTGTTAGACAGGGAGATAATTTGTCACCGACATTGTTTTCAATTTTCATCAACGATTTATCATGTGATATTAACGATCTCAATGTAGGCACTCGCGTTAGTAATACAAATGTATCAATGTTGCTATATGCTAACGATGTTGTGTTTATTGCTGATAACGAACACAATCTTCAATTAATGCTCGACAAACTTAATGAATGGTGTATCAAGTGGCGAATGATGGTTAACTTGTCAAAATCGAAATGTATACATATCGGCATATGGCCACAACGTGATGTAAACAAACCGTTTTTAGCTAAACAATAAGTCGATCAATCAAGTAGTCATAACCCGCGATTAAATACAAGTTAAACATAACTTACCTGTATGCCTCAAGGATTTGTAGGCTTTCAACGACTCCTTCGTGAAAATTAATGGTGTGTCTATCAGGTAGATGTAAATATCACCAAACCATGTGTCGGGTTTTGTGCTCCATTTCTCTATCTATGTATTGGTCGGGTAATGTTCTGGTTCCTGCACCAAACAAGAGCTTCGTCTCGTATCGAGGCAAAGACGGACTGAAAAACACCTCTCTTACGTTTCACATATTGAAAGACAGAATCTTTATAAATCAATTACGTTTCATTTTTCAACAGACGGACACAAATATTTGTACTTCAAATAGATAGTTTTGTCAATTATTATTGAGATAAAAATATATATTAGAAAATATCATATGTAATAGGCTAACAGCTTTTGCTTATATTATCATATTTACATTATTTGTATTTTCAGATTGAAATGAGTAGGTACACAGAGAAGTTAAAGAAATCAATAATCGTGAAAAATATGAAAAATTTAAGAAAAAAAAAAACAAAGAAAAACAATGGAATAGAAAAGGGTTGCATTTTCAGAGGCTCTGGTGCTGGTTCTGAAACTTTCGGCCCAGACAGTAGTACCGGTAACCTCAAGGTGAAGATGCATTTTACATCAAATAGTATTACCAGAAAGGGTGTCACAGCCCGAAGAACAGCATAGAGATTATCAAAGGCTAAGTATAAAGAAAGGCACGGGCCACAAAAACGAAGAAGGATAAGAGAAAAAGTCAGAAAAAGAAAGAGACAGAAGAGGTCTGGGGTACATCTTAAAGGTTGTGAAGTAAATCAAGATCATGTGTCACATAAAAAAAAGAAAACAGATGTACCTGTACCTGTAAAACAGTTCAAAAGTTTGTTTGGCGAAATGGATATATCTGCCAAAAAGGCAACATTTTGAGCAAATACTTAAGTCAAAGACAATTGTCAAAAACTTTAGGACTGAGTCGAAAAACCATAAAAAACGCATTAGAAAGAAACTCTAATGCTATTTTAATTTCTATCGACGTTTCTTCTATGTATACCAATATCGATAACACTACTGGTTTAACGGCAGTTCGTAAAGCTTTTAATAGAAACCCAGATCCAAACAGACCCGACGATGCAATTCTACAGCTTTTAGAGATTTGTCTTAGTCGAAACGATTTCACATTTAATGGTAAAACATATTTACAAACTTCAGGGACAGCAATGGGCAAACGATTTGCCCCTTCGTACGCAAACCTTTTCATGGCAGAGTGGGAACGTGAGGTGTTGCCCCTCTGTCCATTTGACCCACTTTTTTACGACGCTTTTTGGATGACATTTTTATGGTTTGGACTTATTCTATCGAACAGTTTTGGGAATTCTTTGAAATTCTCAACAACCACCATCCTTCTATCAAACTAACCGCAAACGTGAGTGACAAAAGCATAGACTTTCTCGATACCACAGTCTTTAAGGGAGATTCCATAGCAGAAACAAATAAACTGGATATTAAAGTGTATTTCAAAGAAACTGATACTCATCAACTCTTGCACAAGAGCTCCTTTCACCCAAAACATACCTTTTCTGGTATAATTAAGTCACAAGTTTTACGATTTCATCGAATTTGTACAAGATCTTCCGATTTCAACCAAGCCTGTACGATTGTTTTCTCAAAACTGAAAGAGCGTGGGTACTCTAAACGATTTTTACGAAACATAAAAAATTCCACCTTAGCACAGATAGCAGCTAAAAACAGACTTTATGCCGAAGTACCTCCAGGTTTAAGAAGTGCTCCATGTTTGTCCAGTAGATGCAAAACATGTCCCTTTATATCAGAAACTCATTATTTTGTAAGCAACTCTACGAA